TCCAAGCCCTGTATTCTTAATCACCAGGATTTACCATCCCTGGTCACTTAGTTATTTAAAGATGAGGTCTAGTTTGACCCCATCACTGCAGAGGTATCGGGGTACAATATATACCTGAACGATGCGATATGAAGAAAGAGAGAGAAAGGGCATACATACTATGAATGTCAACTTTTTTACTACTGACTGATGCTTATTACTTAATAGAACTCTTCCATAAAGTTATTTTTGTACTCAAAGGAATCAGCAATGGCCAAAGCAAATCCTAACGTTTCTGGAAAGAATGTAGACTATGCGATGCCCAGGGGCTACATGGAGCAACCAGTGAGAGGCAGCCCCCCTCTCAGGGTGGATGAGAGGGGAGACCCCCTGAGAAGGAACCAGCCAACCAAACCAGCAAAACCCGCAGAGGAAAGATTTTTAGTTGATAAGAGAAAACTGCAGTCGGGTCTGAAGAGTGATGCAGTTTTCCAGAGTTTAGGCAACACGGTCTCTCATCTTTTCTCCTCTTCGTGTTTGTCACACCAAATCACAGTAATTGGCAACAATGGCATCTTTCTCTTGGGCTCAAATGTCCCTTGAATTTGTGATATGCTTGGGCTAGTCCACCCTTTCATATAAAGTCTGAGTGTCTCTAAAGAACAATACGAGACACGACAGAGGCTGGATACGGGGTCCTCCTCCATAGGGAGAGGAGATTGATGACCCAGAGGAGACGCGTGCACAACTCTCACGATTGTGAAGTCAGCGTCGGAGCGCTGTGTCTCTGCAATAGGCTATTGGAATTCACAGAAAGGAGGCTGGAGTGAAATACGACCCTGGAGCTGGGCTTGGCAGCCGAGGGTGGCCAAGGCTGGCAGCACTTGAGTGAGCAGTGGGACTGGGCTGTGGCAGAGTGGAGAAAGGAACATGTCAGCTAGAGATCTGGGACCAGAGCAAAGGTAGAGGTGATATCCAGCCACGTGTGAGAGGCAGACACAGTGCCTGGCCTGCTCCACCGGCCCAGCAGTGGTTCTTGGTCCTGGGGAGAATGGGTCAGTCCAGAGTCAGCCCAGAAGGCCCTGGGCTTTCACCAAAGCCACCTTCCCACCCCCGCCTTCCCCCACCAATCTAATGGTCTCTTGGGTTACAGCCAGCCCTGGTCGCCCTTGGCTTAGGCTCATGAAAGGTGCTTGCTAGGGCTGATGGAAGTGATGACAGAGCTCAAGTGGGCAGGCTTTGAGCCTAATCACGGTGGGAGGCGAGAGTGATGAGGCACCGCGGGGGTTGTGCTCTAGTGCACCTAGGAGGAGGCGAGCGGGTCTCTGCGGGCATGGTCTCGGGATGCACCATGCCTGGGACTAGGCTTAGTGAAACAAGAAAGGAGGAGCTGAGTTTGCCCAAGGTAGCGCCTCCCCTTCCACTCACACATACACGGCAATGGGGGGAATTAAAAGGCCAAGATGGACACACCTAGGGGAGGCACACGTTTGCATCGACTGAAAACCAACAAAATGTGGTGCGATAAGCCTAGGAGAGATCAGTGTTAAATTCTGTTTCATTCTCAGAGTTAATTTCTTATATTCTTGGCAATGTTAATATTTCTCTTCTATGCCTAAGGTAGAGGAGCCTGCAAGGCCAAGCAAAGGCCCAGAGGCCACCGTTGGAAAATGTTCTGCCGCATCACTTTAAAATAAACTGGCAAGTTATAATGGCGTTTTCCAGAGTGAGGAATGAAATCTGCTGTATCAGAGTCGTGGGGTGTGGCTCGTGGTCTATGAAAAGGTAGCTTCCTGAGCCCCAGGCCAGAGCTATTCTCTGTTTGCTCATGACGAAGCCCAGGAAGCCTTGCTGTAACCAGCGTGGCCAGTGATTCTCGTGCGCACTGAAGTTTAAGAACCACCATCAGAGGCTCATGCTCTAGGAGTGGTGAACATATCAGCATCACAAAGACATTAGGCCTTATCATCATTAACTCTGAGTAATAGACATAGATACATGTAAGGTAAAGTTTTGACAGCATGAAATAGAACAGTGGCTGACCCTGAAAACCAGAAAACTGTTTCAAAAATGACCTTGTTTAACAAATTGAATGCAATAGACTGAAGCCAAATGACTTTTGCTGAATGGACTGGCTTGTTTGAACAGTTCAGGAAGGCTCACGATGAGTCATAAGATAAACACAGATGATGATGTCTTTCATCCTACGCTTCCTCGGGTCCCAGGCAACATCCAAGAAAGGAGAGAAAACTGCATGAGGGGTGGGGGATGCCATTCATTACCTGGCCCTCCATCCCCAGCCCCCAGGGCCACAACACAGGACAGCCTTAGCCGTAGAGGAACAGGAGTGGTTAGGAGCTACAGAGAAAGAAGGAGAATGGGAACATATGAGAAGGTCACGGAAGGAAGAATAAATAGGCAAAGAAAGCCCTGGAGACGTTATAACAGCAGAGGAAATCCAAGAGAGAAACCACAGATGCTGAGTGAAGTGGAGACACAGAAATAAAGGAGGAAATGGGAGAAGCAACCATAGAAGAGAAAGGGGGGTGTTTAGGGCCCAAGTTGTAGAGCCAAGTAGATCCAGGTCGGCCCACCAGGAAAACAAGAAATCCTAAGGGTATATGAACCAAAGAGCAAAACTGCAAAATGTGAAGCAAAACCCGATAGAAATGAAAGGAAAAAACAGACAAACCACTAAAATTGAGAAGAAGGCCCAGGCGTTTGCTCTGACCCCTTTCATTCAACACAGAGCTGGACATTCCTCCCAGTGCAAGGACAAAACACAAGGAAGTAAGAAGCCATACCTATATTGGAAGGAGAGAAATTAAGTGTTCCTAAATGCAGTTGACCGAATGCCTGCATGGAAAATCCCAAGGGATCTACCCCCGCAAAACTCTTAGAATTAATAACAGTTTAGTGGGGTTGCCAGATGCAAGATAAACATACAAAAGCCAATTATATATCTATCTATTGGCAGTAAATACAGGGACACCAAAATTTAAAATGCAATACTATTTACAACCACTCAAAAATGTAAACACTGAGGTAGAAAAGTCATAAAACATGCATAAGATTTATCTGCTAAAAACCATACAATACTGATGACAGAGATGGAAGGAGACTTAAATAAGTGAAGCATGGTTTTGCAAGACATTACTATTTGGGGGAAACTGGGTAAAATGTATGTGAGATCTGGCTGTGTTATTTATTTTTATATGTACATAAGTTTCTTGTAGATTTTACTGATATAGAAGATGCATAGCACATAATTTACAAATAATAATAAAATGTTCTCTATTGGAAATTTCTGATATGACCAACTGATTCTCATGGCAAGTTTCTCTTGATTTTTCCTAAACTCTTATACTGCTGGCCAACCTGTGGTTTCAAAGCAACTGTGATTTGACAAATGCAATTGCAACTCTTTTATTTGAAAGAATTAAAAGAAAATAAAAATGGACACGAAAGCAAAAATCAAAAACAACATTTTAGCAGAAAAGAGTGATAGTCCTTATCTTCCTTCTCCTCCCCAGTTTCCAGGCCTGGAAGCAGTTCCTATTAAAAATTTCCATCCAGGCATTTTTTTCCCTATTCTTTCTTTATATTATATTTTATTTTTTTAATTTTATTTTTAATTACAGTTTACATTCAACATAATTTTGTATTAGTTTCAGGTGTACAGCACAATTAGACACTCACATGATTTACAAACCGGCCCCCCTGATATTCCCAGTCCCTGCCTGGTAGCATCATTGTTACAAAATTCTTGCCTATGGCTAGACCACCTGGAAAGTTCCTGATCTCTCTGTATTATTTCTTAAAACTGCATGTTAATCTACAGTGCTCTTTTTTTTAAAGTTTAACTGAAGAAAAAAGTCATATTAACATTTCACGATGTCTCCGGTAGCTTCGTCATTCTATCTCTTTTTCAAGCCCCCTTCAGCCAGATGGCAGGAATTCGGGGGTCTCCCTACTTCCTTGCATGTAAGTTTCAGGAGCTCCCCCGAGCTTGTGTTTGGGGTCATCTGTGTTGGTGGCCACTCAGAATAGTTTTCGGCCATGTGCTCACCTCGATTGCTGCCACATCCTCTTCGCCCCCAGGTTCTACCAGCTTTTTTTAAAAAAGATTTTATTTATTTATCTTTAGAGGGGAAGGGAAGGAGAGAGGGAGAGAAATATCAATGTATGGTTGCCTCTTGTGCGTCCCCTGCTGGGAACTGGCCTGCAACCCAGGTTTGCAGGCCTGCGCTCAATCCACTCAGCTATCCCAGCCAGGTACCAGTTCTTCCTCTCCATGAGCTGCAGGAAACCTTCAGAACCCATCTCGGGTCTATTTGCCAGATACTCCCAACAGACATTCCTACTCCCCAAGTGGGGAGACTTGAGAACTATGCTTAGATATTAGGGACACAGGTCTCCTTTATTCTAAGGTCCTTCAGCCCATCTGGTGTCCTCTTGTGTCCTCACCCCTCTCCAGGTTCATTTCATGGCTGGGGAAGGGCTCAGGTTCCCTTGTCAGGTATTTATGAGCATTCAAGTACTCTGCTTCTTTTCTTTTAAAACAGCTTTTTTTTTTTTCCATTTATTGATTCTAGAGAGAGGGGATGGGAGGGGAGAAGAGAGCAAGAGAAACATCAGTGTTGCTCATGCCCTGACCGGGGACCCAACCCACAACCTACGCATGTGCCCTGACTGGGAATCAAACCGTCAACCCTTCAGCTTGCAGGACGACGCTCAGCCACCTGAACCACACCAGTCAAGGCTCTGCTTCCTTTCTCTCTTTTCTCCAGATTCAAATTTCGACCAGCCTGCGGGCACAGAAGGGTGTGTGGGAGTGGGTGCATTCTTCCAAACTTCGCATCATAGGTCTGGTCCTCGGTTTCTCTCCTCAGTTGAGCACTCTGCTGAACCAGCCTTCTCCCACGAGGATGAAAACACTGAGAACCTTAAAATAGGGCCCTGTGATGTCGTCCACCTCTCTCTGCCTTGGGCTCACTTACTCTCCTTGTCTTTCCCTTCAGCTTGTGGCCCAAATCCTGGAGCATAAAGACATAGGCTTTGCAATGGTCGATTCCAAGAAAGAGGCCAAGCTTGCCAAGAAACTGGGTGAGTGTGATTTCTTTAGCTCTATCAGGAAGAACGAAGTGTCTTGCAAGAAGAGTATAGTTTCATTTATTCTTGTATGAGAACTGGGTTTTATGTTTCTTTTCATTACGATGCACTTGTACACCCTCGTCTTGAGTTGTGAAAGAGTTTCATTAAAGTCAGTACTGGCCTGGATTGAATGGTTTTACATTAATCATCAGATACATTTTTGTATCAGGTACAACGACGAGGGGAAGAGTTTCTTCCCGGGGAAACTGGCTTTTAAGATTTAAACCTTTATTTTTAGATCCTAGAGTTAAAAGGCCAGCTTCTCTCTCTCTCTACCATCGTGGTCTTTCAGAGGGGAGAGCAAATCTCTCCTTTTATCACCTGGTGTTGCCTTACCTGTTGGTTTCTAAATGAAAGGCTAAACCGCAGCTGGGCATTCATCACCAAGGACGAGAGGGAGAGTTTAGATGAGGGATGCTTAAATGACTACACAGCATGAGTTGAAATCTCTTGTGTCAATACATCACGCAGAAGCTCAGTGCGCTTTAAGATTCTTACACCTCTAATCCCAACGAGAGAGAAAGCAGGTAGCTTTTCCGGTTTTCGAACACGCCACACGTGTACTGCCCGTTTTGCTTTTTCTGCATGACCAGCAAACAATGGCCATAGCAGGAGGTTGTAAAACAGCACTTTTGAAGAAAGGTTAATTGGATTTGGAGTAGTAAGCACAGGGAAAACAAAATAGGTTAGTGGTGGTTCAATAAATACCTTCAGGTCCATGAAAAGTTCATTATCTCTGAAAATTACAAACAACTGTTTTGTATTTTCAAGAAGACCAGCCTTGCGGGGTTTTTTTTCTTTCATTTTTTTTTTTTTTTACATTTAAATTGAAGGAGATGGTGTTTAAGTCAGACACAAGGAAGAACTCACTTTGAAATGATAATGAATTATTAAGCATGTCTGTGGTATCTCTTTCTCTAGAGACAAATTAAGGAATATTTTTCCTCTCGAGCAGGAAAGCAAAGTAGGTTAAACTCTTTGCTTCATCAAAAGCTGTTTAATGAATTCTTTCGCCTCCCCAGCACCTGTTGATTCCCAAGTCTTCTTCCTTCCCATTGTTACTGAGAAGCTGGATTTCCGGTGAATTTAGTTCGAGGAAAACACTAGTGTTCCAGAGATCTAAAAACTTAGGGGAGCCCTGACTGGTGTGGCTCCGTGGGTTGGGTGTCGTCCCACAAACGGAAAGGTCCCCAGTTCAAGTCCCTGTTGGGGCACATTGTCTGGGCTGTGGGTTCAGTCCCCGAACCGTGCATACACGGAAGACAACCAGTCAATGTTTCTCTCCCTCTCTTTTTCCCTCCCTTCCTCTCTATAAAAATTTCTAAAAAATTGAATGACAATAAAAATAAAAATTTAGGGAAGACAAGTTGGGCAAGTATTTGTAAGACTGGCCCGGTAAATATTCTCCCAATGGAGGACATGATGGGGCTTGAAAAGTCTGAAGAAGCCTTTCTCCAAGCTCAGCCTGGAGGAATTATTGGAGGTTTGTTCTCGACCACGTGGTCCTCGGAGTTTCCAGGACAATGGTGTTATATGAACCTGCTCCTTCATATCCAGCCTCTCTTCTACTTGCCTGAACCAGGGCAATAACCTCCTAACTGGTTTCACTTAGAACAAAATCCAACAGCAGGATGCTGGCTGATATTCCCCACGGTACTCTTGTGATCAGTCATTGCCACGTTCAAGGATACGGGATGCATTGCTCATTTGGATTTAGAAGTGGTGCTCCATGGTGTGCCTGGGGATCTTCGGATGCGCCCTGGGACCCAGCAGGCAGGGGGCTAGCAGCCTCCGTTCCCTAGAGATTTGCAAAGGAGTTTATTCAGAGAAAGCATTCTCCAGCTCACAGAGAGTTTGCAAACCATTAATCTAAGCAACTAAGGAGACCTGAAGTTGGACTAAATGCCAGCCTCAGCTATTTGGCCTCTCTCAGGGGAGGTCTTCCAGCAAGTGTTTGTCCAAGCACACGGCCTTATGCCAAGAGTAATGGAGGGTAGAAAGAAGAGTCTCACCCTGCCCTGCAGCATTCTCAGTTCGCTGGGGACAGAGGACGTGCAGAATTCAGCTCCTCTAGAAAAGCAAGCTGTTCAGCCTGGCCACAAACATTTAGGGGGTGTCTGGGGTGTCCAGCATACCCAGGCTCTGGGTGATGCCTGACAGCAATGGCCCTACCATTAGAGAGCTCACTGTTGTTGTGAGTGCCCATATGTGAAGCTCAGAGAAGATCCATCATGGTGGGAGAGAGTGAAGTGGCCTTCCCGGGGGAAAAATGGTCCCTAAGCTGAAACCTGAAGTACTGACCAAGATGGTGGAGACAACCACATTTAATGTGTGGTCCGAGACAACTTTTATTCTTCCAGTGTGGCTGAGAGACACCAAAAGGTTGGGCTCCCCTGCTGGAGAATCATGCCCTGTGACTTTTCGGTTACACACCCTTTCGTATCAGCTGTGGGCGAGGAGCAAAGGTCATTACAGGGGTTAAGAGAGCAGAACTCAAAGGAGCACAGTTCCACTCATCTGGAGCCTGGCCAATGGGACGGTGTTTCCTGCATCAGAATCATATTGTCCTGGGAACTCTCGCTTTCTTCCAGGTTTCACTGAAGAAGGAAGCCTGTACATTCTGAAGGGTGATCGCACAATTGAGTTTGATGGCGAGTTCGCAGCTGACGTCCTGGTGGAGTTTCTCCTGGACGTAAGCGTCTGTGCACAGTGGCCCTGCATGGAGTTGCTTGGGTTCAAATGTAGGGGAAGTCAGACCTTCAAATAAGAACACAGAGGCTGGGTAACCCCTCCTGGTCTAAGACAGATTTCTCAGGCTTCATGAAAAACTAAGGAGTGCCTGCATCACAGGGCTATTTACTTCCCCTGGGAAGCTGGACCTAAAGTCACTGTCTTATTTGTGATCAGAATTGTGTAGTAGTAACATGTTATTTCTCTTATAAGTTATACACCCACATCCCCTGAAATCCCCTTGGCTTTGCTCCAGTGCTCTGAACAAGAGATGGGGAGTCTGAGGAAGAGGGGGATAGTCACCTGAGGATCTGTAGGGAGAGAAGTAACCATCCGCTGAGTTACCCTGAGTTACCCTCAGAGTGGACTAAAAAAGGGGCGGGATTAATGAGCCCCAATATCATCCCTCCTCTCAGCCGTGGAGGTACGCATGCTCGGGCAAATAGAGGAACAAACACTACAAAAATATTTTATCCATAAACTCACGCTTTCAATAACAGCTGTGAGGTCAGGTTCAAGCTGTTTTGAGCAGAGTGCTGTATAGATTAAGAACACCCATCCTTACTGGTGATTCTTTAGCTACCAGCCCATGCGTAGTGGTCTCTCGCCTTTTCTCCCAAACCTCAAAAACTGAGAGCAAAAGTCGGAGTGAATGGAAGGTCACCTCCTACGAAAAAGTGCCCATAGATTGTCCTTGGCCCTTTCATTGACCCGTAACCTTTAGCCCTGACAAAGCGGAGGGCAGCAACTGAACAACTCTGGCAAGGCCAAGGCTTTCAGAAGTTCCTGGTGGAAACCAGACTCAAGCCGCCTTAACCACTAAGCAACATGACTGACCCTCACAAACAGAAGTCCAGGGTGAGGGCAAGTTTTAGACTTGATCAAATTAGGACTCTAGTCCCATTTTTTTCTGTAAGTTACAGATAATGCATCAGGGTGTGGGCTTCGTCCCCCAGATGACTATTCTCAAGTTGGTTCTAAGGCAGCCAGTGGCAGGAGCACATACGTCCCATTTCCTCATTAATATTTAATGAGAAATGGGGTGGAGGGTGGATCTGGCTTCCCACTGTTGCCTTAAAGTGAAAGCAGGACTTTCCTGAAGCTTTCAGCAAATCTGCCCTGGAGATTCATTGACCAGAATTGGGTTTCATGCCATTCCTAAGTCAATAACTGGCAAGAGGAATAGAACTGCCCCAGACCAACCAGTCTACCCCTTGATAGATGAGTTAAGATCAGTTCCTTAAAAGGTGCTGCTGCTGTACTCACTGGGGGAGGGTGGGGTGGGTGCTGAGGCACCATCCAAAGTCCACAACTTCCCTGCAAAGCCCTCTGCCTGTGTGCCTGATTCGTGGGAAGGGACCGATTTTGTATGTGTGTGTGTGTGGCATTTCAGCTCATTGAAGACCCAGTGGAGGTCATCAGCAACAAACTGGAGGTCCAAGCCTTTGAACGCATTGAGGACCAGATCAAACTCATTGGCTTTTTTAAGAGCGAGGACTCAGAATGTAAGTAGCCCATCAACCCCAGCCTGTCAGTCCAAAGGCTAGATTCCCAACCAGGGAGGTCAGATTATCCATAAAGAGGAGGGGCCACCAGCAGGTCTTGTGCAGGGTAGCAGAGAAACTTCCTGTGCAATGGGACACTTGAGTCACTTACGCAAAACAGGCTGGGGAGCTGAAAGGGCACTAAGGCGGGGCCGTGTTCTCTGGCCTTGAAGGGGCCAGGGGTAGTGGACTGCTTTACAGAAGAGAGAAAAGCCCTCCCTCCACGTTTCTACCTGCCCACCCACCAGTGGAATTCTCCCCTAAAACAGGGCACATGGTGGGCTGTCTCCCTGACACCAGAGCTCCCGCGGTCACCAGCCGGAGAGCTTCTCAGTCACTGGGACAGCATGAGAGGAAAACTGGGCTGGGGCTGGGCCTGACAGCTGCAGTACAATGTGGAAAATTGCTGGCCAGCCCAGCTGACCACCAAGGCAGCCGGAGATCGCGCACCACACCCTTGGGTGTGTTCCTTTGAAAGCTTTGCGGCCAGGTTTTGGGTGGGCCCAGGAACCTCTCACAGCATCAGCACAACCCGTGGGGGGGGGAGGGGGATATGTGGGGTCAGGATTCCAGTAGCATTAGTACGGGAGGGAAATGCAAATAAGGGCTGCTTTGGGCTATTCCTGGGAACTCCGCAATATTTTGAAATGATCTGTGAAGCCGTGTCTCTACCCCATCTGCCAGCTGGCCTCCTTCATCATCTCAGCAACCCACCAATTTTCTCTCCCCCGTGACCCAATGGGATGGTCTCCTCATTTGCTACATAAAAGCCTCTATTCACCCTCCTTAAGAGAGAGTTGGGGGAAGGTGGCTGGCCAGGGAGTTTGACTTTACTTCAGTTTTCACATTTCCGGATGGATGCTGACCACTCTCTGGGATGCTTCTCATGAGATCAGAGTAGAAAACCAGACCACGTTCCCTGAAGACAGCTGCTGTTTGCAGAGGTGGAGGCTTCAACCCAAGCTTGAAGCACCAACCTGGGATTGATTACCTTGCCGCACCCTTTTCCATTGCAATAAAGATACAGACTGGCTTCCCAAGAGAAGTAGGGGTTCTCCTAACACAGGTCTAGGCCAGGCTTTCTATCAGAGTAGGAGTTCAGGAGGCGGAGGGAGGTTCATCAGCCACAAGAGAATTCTGATGGAGCCTACTCTGCCTTAGATATAAGTGGCTTAACTATGGCTCTAACCCCTTCCCTTTCTGTGCTCTCCCACTTCCCTCTATTCATCCTCCTAGTCTCCCACCCATCTTCTTCCCTGTGCTCAACCCTCTACCCCAACTGTCAGCCTGTTCTCCACGTGTTGTGACAACATAATCACTTGTGTGAGGACAAGTGTGTGTGACTGTGGATCAGTATGTACAGGTGTCTTGTACATTTTCCAACCCCTCTCTCAGCTGCACTTACGCGTTTGCCTCTGTGTGGCAGCTGCCACACTGCTCTGTGAGGGTCCGTAACCCTTGCAGGGCTGTGAGCCTTTGCTCACTGTCCTTGTCTTACTCATCCTGGAGTTGTCTGAGCCAGCATGACTCTTGAAATGTTTCTGATTGAATATTAGAAAAGTCTGCAGGCTCCTGGAATTCTAGCAAAAACTTATGCCTCTGATAATGAAAGGGTATAGAATTCCATGAAATGGAAAAAGTTAATCTCATTAAGAATGAATCACAGGATCACTGACTCTCTGGATTATGGAACTTTTGCAGAGCAACCACCAGCCGCGCACCACAGCACCATTATCATCACCCTGCCATCCAAGGCTAGAAAACCAACCTCCCTACCCAGGCTGGGCGTGGTCAGATACAGCACGGCCACACCCTGGTGCCCTTGAGCCTCTTCGCCAGTGTGGACTCCAGTTTAGGACCGGAGTCCCCCGCAGTCTTTATTCATTGTAAGGGATCAGAATAAAACAAGAAAACCTGAAAGGAGGGAGAGAAAAACCAGGATTCACCATAGAGAGTACTCCTGCTAAGCAGTTGAAAGTACTTCTGTGATGTCATTTTTGACTGAGTTGCTTGGCACGATGAGAAGGATTTCTCCTCACATCGTGCTCGTTCATACAGCGGGGTGCACTGCCTCAAGGGCACATTTGTCACCAGTAGCAAGTCTGAGCCAGAGAACTTTTTCTTTTGGTCTGGAGCTGGGCAATTTCTTTCCTTGCCCTTGTTCTCTCTAGGTTGTCTCCTTTCCATCTACCAATTTCATAAAACATGCAAAAGTGTGGCAAAGAGTTCTTTTGGGGGATTGAATGCCAGTCAGTTAAAACTCCTTCGGGAAACTGAGGGTTTAAGTAATACCAAGGAATTATCTATCTGAATAAGATCTACTTAATAGTGATCTGATCAGGATTAATTGGCTTCCCGCTCTCTCTGCATTGTTTAAAGAGAAACGTCTGCTGTGTGCTTCTGGAAAACGTCTCTCCCTTCTATCTCTCTCCTCTTAGATTACAAGGCTTTTGAAGAGGCAGCTGAACACTTTCAGCCGTACATCAAATTTTTCGCGACCTTTGACAAAGGGGTGAGTACCTATGAAACCCCAATTGGAGCACTTCCATACTCGGGAGGTATTCCAGTTGGAACTTTCCACCACCCTCTTTTCTTTTAGCAACACTAACTACCCTCCACCCATTCACACTTTCCCCGAAGTGTTAGAACTATGGCGGTAAATCACTACCGGATGAGAGATGCGTGTGAAGATGTTTAATGCAGAAGATAGTAGGGGTATTTCTGAAAACATCCAATGAAAAGCGACATACCAACCACTTGGGGTCATTTTTGGCACTAAGAATGGCGAGTGTGTGGGCCCAGAGTGTGTGGGACACTAATCGCTGAGCGTCCTTTTCTTGCAGCCCCCCTCCCCCTCCCTGGTTGCGCACTTTTCCTCCTCTGGGCTGGGATGGGGGATGCAATGGGGAAGGGCGTGGGCCTCTGGAGCCCTGGCTGCTTCGTCTTCAGGCGGAGCCACTGATGTACTTCTCTGTGATTCAATTGCTCTTCATTCCCCAGGTATGGAAGGAAGGTGCCTTTATAAGCCAAACAATGGCAGAGATAGAGGGACCTTGAATCAAGGGGTAATTCACTTGGGGTCTGCTGGACTTGGAGCACAGTGTCCTGGCTCCAGGCGCCACTAAATGGCTGCCCTTTGCCCAGGGCCTTCTGTGTGGGGGACACAGTTGATATATCTCACTAATACAACCTCTAACTCTTTAAACAACTTCGAAAGTGAACCCACCCCCAACTTTCCACATGAGAAAAAGGAATTTAGAAAGGTTAAGTAGTATCCAAGGTCTCCAGTGAATTAATGGTGGAGCTGAGATCCCAGTTTAGGACAATCTGTGCCCCAATCCACGTCCTTCCCTCTGGACTGCATGGTTAAGTAAAAGACCCTGTCCCTACCCTTGAGAATCAAGGTGCACACTCACACGCTCACAACCACACAACACACATGCATAACACACTTAAAACACACACCACATACACATAATACATATGCAGGCAACATACACACTGTATAATACACAAATGTCACACATACCCACACTCACGTACACACATTAACACACACCCAATACGCACACTCTGAATACTGGAAGTACTCTGTGAAAAGCAAGTACTTTGTGAAAAACGAGGAAATCTGTAGATGCTGAAGCTGGGAAAGGAACGGTGCTAAGAGACTGCATTCCATTCATACATGTATTGAACCACTTCTACGGCTATCACCCCAGTTTACAAGCTTATAATGCAGAAGAGAGGTCCATAATCTAAATGATGTCATCTAAACTTGGAGAAAGTTCACCCTAATTGGTGGGATTAGAGTTGGGAGAGATCTTGAGCAAGAATAGCAAAAAGAGTAATAATTATCACTCATTAAGTAATTTTTATGCGTATATGCCAGGCTTTGTGCTAAGAATTTTATAGAGGTTTTCTCATTTCATCTTCTCAACACCCCTGTAAGACAGGGGGTTGTGTTTACAGTCTACAGAGGTTGATACTGAGGCACCGAGAGATTGCGATTCGCTCATGGTCATTTAGTGGGTACTGAAGCCCGAGGTAATTGTGGGTCAGCCCGACTCCAAAGTCAGTGCCCTGCACGACTCTAGCCCAGAAAAAGAACCAGTGCATGTAAAATGCACCGGGCACACAGTGAGCCTGCGGTGACTGTCAGCTAGCTGTGAGGACCGTTGCTAATAAAGCCAGTCCTTCAGGCCCCAGAGGACAGACCTTGCAAAGGGATATTAGTAGAGAAGGGGAGGGACAGAAAAGCTGAAACTGAGTCCATCACTGACGGCTGGTTCCGATCGGTCAGGAGTGACCAGTGCTGGGTAGGAACTCACCCCAGGAAAGAGAGTCAGGCAGACAAGTGTGGCCAAGCAACAAAGCCTCGGTTCTTAGAAGGGTGGTGCAGTGCCGGCCAAGTTCAGGGTGGGGTCAGTTCTCAGATGTGCCTCCCAGCCGGACCTTATGGCTTCATGTCTGTGGCCCATGAAGAAGGTGAGGCGGGCTATAAAAACTCAGAAGACTCTTTACTAAAAGCTCTATAAGACACTGAGTCATAAGCATGACCATGCACATGGCCTAGTGGGACTTCCTACTATCTAAAAGGAGGAGGACAAACGGTCTCTCCCTCTGTGAGAAACACAGAGGGCAGAGCTGTCCCGCTGCAAGGACTCACTGGCGTTTGGGACTTAAAAGCTTGTGCCCGTCAACTACGGGTGTGGGGGACGGTGCCCAGTGGAGAGGTGGGGCCCGGAAGGCGTGGTTGCACCCACCGTGTCACTCAGGACGACACACAATTTAACCCGATGGACTGTTTATTTCTGGGCTTTTCCTGTTAATATTTTCAGACTGTGGTTGATCGTGGATAACTGAAACCATGGATAAGGGGGTTGCTGCTATGTATGAGTTGGAGAAACCTAAAGAGGGGGAGATGCTGGGGCTGCTGATGTTGGTTTGGGAACTAGTAGTTTCCCAACACCACCCACATGGGTATTTCCCAGGAAGCTTTAAAACTGTGGATTCCTGGGCTCTAGCCCTGGAAATTTGGAGGGGTTTTTTTAGGATTTTGACAGGGCCCAGGAATATGCATTTTCAAAAAGCATATTTTGAAAACCAGGGGATTTTACCAGGCACATTGGTTTGGGACCAGAACCAATCTATGGATCCCGATCTGAAATCAAGCCCCCGAAGGAGCAAGACAGGGTCAGAGGGCTGAGGATGGTCGCTCTGCTGCAGCTTACGGCCTGAAATATGTCAGTTCTAATTATCCCCACGAGACCTGTTCCATTCTTGGAGTGAACAGTGAGACACAAAATCAGTTTTTGAACCACATTAGGACAGAAAGAAGCAGGGATTATCCAAACAGAGTTGACAGAGAAGATAGATATTGAAAAGGCCTCAATTCACTGAACTGGTTTCATTTGCATCAACTGAAATGGCTTGCTAATGCCTTAGAGAAACATCTATATCGAAATTCATACATTTGCAAACGTCAAAAACTGGCCATGGTGCTTTGTAGTTTTCTTGCCTTTGGCAAAATGTATTCCAACGAGTTTTTGAAAAGGCACAAAAGAACTCATTATATGGACCTCTTAGGCTTTCAGTAGTAAAATTCATTCTCATACCATTGTTCCCACCCACGAGCCAGGTCTAGTCCCAGAAGAGTGCCTGGGATACAGTCAGCACCATTAAATATTTATTGAACAGATAAATGAATCAATGCCTCAATCAATCAAATCTCCTTCAGTCCTTACCACCCAAAATACAAATAAAAGAATGAGGAAAGGGATTCTCTGAGACACCAGATGAGGGCACCCCATGGTGGCAGTGGGGATGGAGTACACAGGCCTCTGGAAAAGCTCACTCAGCAGTCCCCAGAATTAGACTAAAAACGTCCCAGTCCTCCCATGGGCTTCCCACTGCACACTGGACCCTGACCTCCAAGCACCAGAGACCCCCTGCAACACACGCATAACACACAGGCACAGGCACACACGTGGGGCACCCCAAGCTTCGAGTGAGCACCTTCTCACCTACAGGGAGCTGGACCCTAGCAGACCTTGGTGGGGTGAGGTGATGAGGGAGGAACAGGAGACATTGCACTGACCGTGTGCAGCACTGGTGGAACAGCTACGGGGACAGACATCATTTGCTGCAGTGTCAAGGAGGAAGTGACTTTCTGATGACAGGGAAGTTGGTGTCCAGGCAAATTGGGTTTGAACTCTGGCTCTGTGCCCTGTGGGCAGACGATCTTGACAAATTGCCTACTCAGATGGTGCCTCGGGCTCGCCATTTGTAAAATGAGGACAATGGCAGCTTCTACCTGCTACTGTCAAAGTGAAGATTCAGAGAGGAGCCAACCTAAAGCACTTGGTAACGGCGCCCTGCACGTAGCAAGCACGCTACGTGCTCACTATCATTACCTTTTTGCTCATCGGATAGCTTCCCACTTCTTGTAAGCGGTGCCCTGGGTTTTAAAAGAAGCAGTAAGTGAACTCACAGAACCAGAATCTAGGGTCATGTTCAAGCCCCTTTGGGGATGCACCCAGCTTTGCCAACAACTATGGGTGAACCTGGACGCTGGGCGCACAGTTGCTATTGCCCTGCCCCTCCTGGCGTCATCTATCACCCGTACCACCCCCTGCCCCATGGGGGAGGAAAAATGTAAGGAAAAGCTCCATATCTCCCTGTCCCTTAAAACGAAATAGCATGACCATAAAATCTCCTTTGACCAACTGTCGCTCTTAACCTGACCCGTTTTCCCTCTGAGTCGAACGCTAGTTTCTGTGTTGAATACCATAAGAAATGTCTTTTGAAATACAGTGACCTGAATTAATAGCAATCAATGACAGAATCCATGGGGATGTCAGTGTTTCCTCAGAATGGGCCTCCTGTGTAACAGCTCGCGCAGCACCCAGTCCCCGCACCCCTGTGCAGTTAGTCCCGGCTGCCCCGGGCCCCTGAGCTTGTCCACGTTCCCCGCAGGGCGTCTGCACCCGGGCCCCTCCTCTTCAGTTTCAAGGGAACCACTGTTTATCCCTGGCTTTCTGGGGCCACGGCCCTGAGCTAGAGAAGAATGGCATTTGGTTTTCTCCGGAGCGTGGCACATTCCAGGCCTCTCGAGTCATTTCACAGCAAGAGTTCTGAGTTCAGCAGGTCTGCGGGCGAACACAGCAGCCATTCTGCCCTGACAAGACAGTGTGGCTGCTTGACTCAAGAGAGGAGATGGCCTCCGGGCTGCTTCGGGCTCCCCGAGCTTTTGGCCTGGTACAGGGGAGAACAGCACGGCCTTGCTTGCTGGGTCCTACTGGGTTTTAGCGCTGAGAGTCTGAATCCAGGGAAAACCCTCCACTCTAGACAAACCAGGATGGCTGTGGGCAGTTCCCCGAGCCCGAGAAACCATCATGTCAGCCCAGGCTTGATGTCTAACTGAAAGACAGCCCAAGGGCCAGGCTTCAACCTAAATAACAAGTCGAGTTCATGAGCTGATCAAGGATTAATCAGTTGGCCTCTGGTTTTGAGTACCTACATGCTTTCAATAGTTCCCATCAATTGCCTGTGCTATTAAAATTGATTCAATTAAATCCATGCATCCTAGGACATGGAGCGTCTGGGTTGGCCTTTGCTTCCTGCTCCGGCCTGACAAATATGGCGGCATGGTGGTGATCGTAGGATTAGATTCCCTGTTTTTTGTTCCGTCTGCCCCGGCCCCTGCTTGGACCTCCTTGGCAAGAGGGGTTTCTTTCTCCCTATCTGTCCTTTGATCAGTCCAGCCAGGCCATAGGGGATGAGCTCCTGTCACTGTGACATTTAAGTTAGAACTGTACGTACACTCTCAAGTCCTTGCAGGGAACACACGAACACCTTAGAGACAGACCGCCCGCTGCCACTCCAGACTAGCATTCAAGGCACCTATTGTCCTATTTCTAATTGCTACAGGTGGCAAAGAAATTGTCCTTGAAGATGAATGAGGTTGACTTCTACGAGCCGTTTATGGATGAGCCCGTCGCCATCCCTGACAAGCCTTACACGGAGGAAGAGCTCGTGGAGTTTGTAAAGGATCACCAAAGGTACCCGAGATGGCACGCGGGGGAGGGGAGGCAGCGTCCAGAACAAGGAGAAGCACCCTCAGTCCTCACATCTCAGACCCCAAGAGCAACACCCTGCAGTTAGCACCCCAGAAGGACTGAACTCAGTGGAATGGCCTTGCTGGTCATGGATCAGTGGTAGGGATGTTGCTACATTTTCTTTTTAAAATTTTTAAGGTTTTATTTATTTTATGTTTAGAGAGAGGGGAAGAGAGGGAGAGAAATATCAATATGTGGTTGCCTCTCACATGGCCCCCACTAAGGACCTGGTCTGCAACCCGGGCATGTGCCCTGACTGGGAATTGTGAACCAGCAAACATTTGGTCCGCAGCCCATGCTCAATCCACTGAGCTACAGCAGCTACATTTTCTAAATACGGTTCTACACTTGCAGACAGGCTTAAACCACCTCCCCTCAGTCAGCAAATCCCCTGTAAGTCAGATTAAGATTTCAGTAAAATTCTACAACAATAGCAACAGAAGATTTAGGAACAGTCTCTTATATGCCAAGTACCATGGTAGGTGCTTATGAGAGCTATTTTATGTAACATAACCAGATAATTATCATCACCCTCGTTTTGCACAGTAGGGGACTGGACTGAGAATAGTTCAGCTACTTAACCCTCAGGTGAACATTCTATACACATTTTCTGGGAGAGGAATGTTTGACACCGCCCAGCTTCAGCACGGATGAGTAAACTTCTTCTATAAAGGGCCAGAGAATAAATATTTCAGGCTCTGTGGGCCAGAAAGGCTCCGCTGCAACACTCAACTCCACTGCTCTTGTGTGAAAGCAGCCGTAAACAATAGCCAAACAACTGAGTGTGGCCGTGTCTCCCTGGGAAGTTTATTTATAAACACAGGAGGCACTGGCTGGACATGGCCCACCAGCTGCAGTTTGCCGAGCCCTGCTCCTGAGGGGGACACAATATGGAACACGGAACATGGAGCTGAGTTCACCGCCTCACCCCTTCCCCCAACACGTACTCGTGTATGTTTGCTGGACCAGGATTTCATCCACCAGTCAGTCCTGGTCTCTACAGCGAGGCAGTACTTGGAGGAGCAGATATGAACATGCCTAGAACTGTTTGCCAACATTTAGAAAGAAATGAAACCATGGGCAAGATGTAGATTCCACCTGCTCTTCCAAACGTCCCTTTAATGGACGACTCTGATGACAAAACAAAACCAACACTTCCTGTTTTCTCTCCCAGGTCTCCTTGCTCTGGGTCTCCTCTGGGCTCTCTGGGAGGAGGGAGATGGCTTCCTTCCCTGGGAATGAGCTGACCCTGCGCCCTCTGCCCCATTGTTTATGATGAGCTGTGGAATCCTCGGGTCAAACCGATGCATGAACAGGCTGAGAGCCTGTGGCCAGCTCTCTGTGCGACACAGCAGGGTCCGCCACAGTGGCTCCATGTCCGCTGTGGTAACCTCTACTCGAGGAAGCTCATCTTTTTCTTTTTTCAGACCCACCCTACGTCGCCTGCGCCCAGAAGATATGTTTGAGACGTGGGTAAGAAAGTGGCAACCTCCTTCTGCCTTATAGAGACTGGTAGAATGCCCCTCTGATCTCAAAACTCAAACCAAGCTTCACTTGGCTGGAGTGGATGTCTAGGTAGTAGAGTGTTTGAAATGTGAACAGCACGCTCAAGTAAAATCCAGATATTGTGGATCCAACTTATGCCTCTCTAGTGTTAACCACTAGGCAAGATTACTCTACCTCTGAGTTCATTTTCCATGGTGAATACCGGCCACCGGGGGCTGAGAGTAACTAGTGGAAGAAGCTCAGACTATGAAGACATAGAGACTTGGGTTCAAGTCTAGAATCTGACACCTAGTAGCTGTGCATCCTACATTAAGCCATGTGGTCTGTCTGGGCTTTAGTTTCTGCCTCTATAATCAGGGCTCAAGGTGAAGGGTGGGAAGAACCTAAAACATGGTAGGTGCTTAATAAATGAATGGGAGCTGTTTTTATAAATACCAGCTCAAGGTGCCAGAAAACACTGAGCCAGAATATCCTCTAGGTCAAGGTCATAAACAACATGTCAGGCAGGTCAACTAGCATTAGAAAAAGAACCCTGGAGGCACAACCTCCCACTCACCTTAGCTGTACACAAAATTCTGTACGCAGTAACAACCACAGTCCACAGGGCATTTCCCAAAGCATTTTGTGTCCCCTTCAGCAGTTCTAGAACGTGATGAAAAACAGGAATTATTTTAACCCCATGTGACATAAGGAAAGTGATTATATGGAGTAAGTTGATTAGTCAAGAATACATAACTAATAAGCTCTAGAACTTAGATTTAAATCATCAGGAGCCAAATCTCCTGTTCTCTCCAGTATGGCCCCCTAGAATGGGCCGTGTCCCCACAAGGCACCACTGTGCAGTGGGGGTGTGGGTGGGAGGGGAAAGGGACTAACGTGGAAGCAGCTATTTGTTTGTTTATTTATTCTTTAGTTCAGAGTTTAAAGTGGTAGGTGAAGGGACGGACCCACAGAGAAACTCGGCACTCTCTGTCTGGCTGGCATGTAACGTCATATTTAGATGTCTGAACACAGAACAAACATTGCGTCAGACGTGGAGGGTAGTGAGCCGGGGCGCAGGGCGGCCACGCCCGCACCGCTGCACAGCAGAAACCCGAAACGGGTTCTCCCGATGTTTCGTGCTTTCAAAAACGTGACGTTTAAAGTGTTTGGTTATTGCTTCTAAATGGTACGACAGTGCTCTAAAAATAATATCCCTTGAAAAATATTTTTACTTAAAATAATTTCAGGCTTATAAAAAATAATGTAAAGAATTCCACGATCTTTTTACCCAGATTCCCCAAGTGTTAACATTTTATCACCTTCGCTTTGTCTCTTGATGGACAGATAAATAAATGATAGATTTCTTTCCTGAACCGTTCGAGAGCAAGTAGTAGACACAATTCCTTTTTACCTTTACGTCTTTCCGATGTTTTCTAAAACAGGACTTTCACATAACCACAGTATACTTATCAAAATCAGGAAATCAATACAATTATTTTATCTATGGACCTTATTCAAACTGACGAGTTGTCCCACTAATGTCCCTTATAGCACAAGAAAAAATTTTTTTCCTGGCGCAGGATCCAGCCCTTGGTCACACACTGGCATGGTGTCCTTGGTCATTGGTTTTCCTTGGTCCTTCATGACAACAAGGTGCCATTTTAAATGGAGAGCAACCATTCCTGCTCTGCTGGGCCTTTATCCGTGGGTCTTATCTGATTTCCTTCACCCCTAATAAATATCTCGATTATCTAGGCTCCTAGAAGGGAGAGACCACGGAATTGTCGAGCCCACTTTTCTCAGGCCCTCCCTCACTGACACAGCCGTGTGGCGCCCACGCCCGCCCCCACCCACCGGATCCCCTCCCCCTACCACAAGCACAGAACCCCCGAACCCCCGAATCCCCGCACCACCTGCAGAAACACCCTCGTACCGCATCACAGCTGGATGTTCAGAAAGATAGTCTGCTGTCCGGCCTCGTTGGAACTCACTCTCTGCTGTCTTCTCACTTAATGAGTGAGATAAGTCACAGCCTTTTGCTACAAGGTAAAATGCAATAACAAGGATGGCTCACATTTTCTACATTATGTGTTTAATTGCTTTCTAATGAGGAAGGGCTGTGTGTTAAATTTAAGCTGGGAGACTGGAGGGGTGTCAAGCTCATTTTCACTGGGGGCCACATCAGCCTCCAGGTTGCCTTCATAAGGCCAAATATAATTTTAGGACTGTATACATGTAACTACTCCTTAACTAGGGGCAAGGTGCTCAGTGCTGCCACCAGGTAGAAACAAGGTGGAAGCCGGATTCGGCCCACGGCCTTGTGGTTGGCACCTGTGTAGAGAAACGAGCCCTCGACTGCTTTACTCCTCTCCCGCATCACAGCATCCCCACGTGACAGGGACCCCAGCCAGGCCCTCATCCCGGCCTCCACCTCGGGAGGGGGTGGGGCAGTGCGGGTTCTGCAGCATTACCTCCCCACCCTAAGAGGAGAAGCGGAAGTCTATCTGTCAGAAGGCTCCCTGGGGAGTCTCCCCCCCCCCCCCGCTGCACCCCTTCCCCACCCACCCAGGTGAGCGCTGTCTCAAACAAAGAGCACGTCCATGGGCCACTTGGCCACAGAAACTTGAACCACAGACGTTGGGGAAAGTGACCAGTTAATGACCTTAGATGTGTTTAGCTTCAACACCCACTTCCCCGGACACTGCAAAATATTGTAATAAGCTAGGAAAACTGGGTGGGGCTAAAGCAGCTATTGACTTTTTTCTCTCCTCCATGGTGCAGGATTTTAAAGCAGCAAACCATAGAAACACATAATTTATTATTACTACAGAAATCGGTGCCTAGTGATATCTGCTTGTGTAAATCAGGTAGCTATTTATTTATTTAGAATAGTCGAAGCATGTCAAAGTCGGGCAGGGTGGCCCGGACCCAGGGCTGACCTGTCCTTCCCCTTGGAGACTGCCCCTTCCACCGGCCCTCCACCCTGGCCCATGGTCAGCCGGAGTTCTGGGCCAAAGCCCGCAGGGATGGGAATCAGCAGTTCCTTCTAGAAGAACCCTCTCTCTGTTACAATAACAAAGTGTTTCCACGAGGGAGCCAGGGACCCCCCAGATGGGCCCCTAGGACACTCCGTCACACCAGGGAATCTGCTGTCTTCTCTGCATCTCTTCATCCAATATGAGAACAAACTTCAGCAGATATTGGAAGAAAACCACAAAACCTGAGCAGTGGTAATCCATCCGCTTGGTGGGGGATTCATTTCTCCTTGCTCTCTCTAATATTTGCTAATTTTCTTCAACACATATGGAAGATTTTTATCACCATACTCCTTTTTAAATTCAGGAGGCACGAGCAAGAGCCTGTTGTCTGTGCTGAGCACGGAGATTACAAAAGTGAGCGTCGCTGTCCTGTCTTTAGGAGTCCAGGGTTGAGTCGATGAAACAGTCTCCAAACATGTGACACCTGTCCAGGGTGCTCCCTGCTATGACAGGGACGCGCCCAGTGCTGGGGAATCCAGAGAAGGGTACTCACCAAAGTTAACTCCCAGACGTCCATTTGGGGGACTGGGGGGGATCTGATGTTCGGTCACATAATATATTATAAAGACCCCGTCTCAGCCTTTTCCGGCTGAAGTAAGAGCCGCCGGCCTGAGGTTGCAACACCTGCAAACCCCGGAGAGGGGACGGCGGCGGGCGCATGGATCTCGTCCTGTGCTGTCGGAGATGTTAGGGAGCACACGCTGCTCCTCTGCCCTGTCAGGCTCAGGGTGAGAGGCCTGCAGATTGAAGGGACAAAGACAGATTAGTATGAGGGGGAAAAAGATTTAATTACCTATTTATGCACCAGAGTTCACCAAAATGCCACTCAAGGAGGGGCTTATATACAGTCTAAACAGGGGGCGGGACCCTTCTGGGAGAACCAAAGGCTTTTTGGAAAGAGAAATGGGTCCTTCGGAGAAGAGATGAGAGATATGATTATTTGCGACAATGTCGGTTCGAGAGAAGATTCGAGGTGCACCCCAGGAAAGGCTTTCCTGACAAGTGAGTTCTTTTGAGAGACTCTGTATTTAGGCAAATGAGAGTTTCCAGGAATTCAAATGCCTTCAGCTCAGGGAAATCTCTGTGCCTCACTGGCTTAGTCTGGGCTCCTCCAGTGAGCTAGGCAGAGCACAGGCTTTGGGTGGGACCAGACAGAGCTGGCTCGAACCCCAGGTAAGTCACAGACCGGCTCTGTGGCTTCAGGTAAGTCACTTCAATTTTTTAAGCCTTAAACAGGAATAAGACTTTCATTAAAGATTTAGAAATAATGGACTTACAAAGTACTGACTCAAAGGCAAATGGCAGGTAGGAATAAACCATTTTAATCATCATCGTTATAGGAAGGTGTAATCCCTTCCTTCAGTGAGCTTGCCATCTGGGTAAGTAGGGAAGATTTATGCAAGTAGAGAGATGGTTTCCAAGACAATGTGACGAGAAGGCCAAACGGGTGATTGGGTGTGGGGTTGGGAGGAGGGCCCCGGGACGGTCTGTCCTGCAGATGGCCCTGGGCTCTTCCTCGCCTGTGCACCTGGGGTGCCCCCAGAGTAACCCTGACCTACAGGCTTGCCCACAGGGTCTTGCTCTGTGAGCTTATTCCTGAACACACCCGGCACAGAGCCCCCGCCGGCCTCCATGCAGGCGTTCAGCACAGGCCTGCGTGCTGACCCTCTGCGCCCACAGGGACAGAAGCCCCTTCCCGTGGTCACACAGCTCTCTGTCCGGGGACAATCTGAGGCCCACGGAGGGACAGCCACATTATGAGCAGTCTCTTAGCAAATAAATACAGATTCTTAATTCTAAAACCTATTTCCAAATGCATTCTGGAAGGGCAGGCAGAAGTGAAGCTGCTTCCTGGCATCAGCAGCCAGGAACACGGGGCTGCCTAATGAGAACTGATCAGGGCGTCCTGCCTGGTGACGGCAGCAAATGTAAAACAGCGAGACCTCCCCCCGCCCCTCCTCTGGCTGCTGTCAGATTTGTGTAATAAACCTGCACGCACACATACAGATCTGCAAAAATTCAATTCCCCGGGGGATCTGACCACAGCAGTGCCCACTCGCTTGTTTTTAATAATGATATTTTCCATTTACTCTCGCTCAGAATTTTCGGAGGTTTTGTCCATTCTGAACTCCAAGGAAAAGAATTAGCATTTAGATAGGATTGCACCAGCGTTAAAATCAATGGAAATGGAAACGTGGCCATGGGGGGGCTGTGATGATGGGTATTTTCTCTGTGGGATGATTCTGATGTGACGTCCAGGGCGCCCAGTGAGCCCCTCGCCCTGTGTCAGTGATGATCAGTGCCCACTCAGAGTTACCCCCGGGCCTCATTCTCGCACAGCTTTCTGTCCAAGCATTGCGGGGATCACAGCTCTTCTTTCTTTCTTTCTTTTTTAGAGAGAGAGGGGAAGGAAGGGAGAGAGGGAGTGAAACATCAATGTGTGAGAGATACATCGATCAGGTTGCCTCTCACACGTCCCCAACTTGGGACCTGGTCCACAACCCAGGCATGTGCCTTGACTGGGAATCGAACCAGTGACTCTTTGGTTCGGAGGCTGGCATTCAATCCACTGAGCCACACCAGCCAGGGCAGATCACATTTCTTATAAAGGAAGTGCCTTCGAGCTCTCGCTCGCTCTTCTGCAGAAATAATCGATGCAAAGGAGACACGAGCCCTGAGGTTCTTTCTGCCCAGGACGTAGGAACATGGAATGCCACTGGCTTGTCCCGTAGATCGGAAATGCTCTCTCTAGACTCTGCTGCGTCCTGACCTGCACGGCTGTACCGACTTGTCACCTTCGCACCCTCAGCCTTCCCCCGCCCCCCTTTTCCAGACTCTTCTGTAGCTGCCCTCACTCAGGCATGCATCAGAGGCCTGTGTCACTTCCACAAGCTCTGGTTCCAGAGCCAAGAGGAACCCCCCACGAACACCCCAGGAGTGACAGAGACAGCAAAGTGCCCCCCGCCGACCACACAGGTCCTTCACTAAGCGGTGCCTTAATAGGGAAGAAGCACGTGACACTTGTGTGAACAATACAGACGCAGATTCTAAGTTGCCTCAAGGATTTCCTGTCTGCTGCCTGTCTGGGGTCAGCCTCAGGATCGGTCAGCAGCACCCAGACATTTCCATAACCTGGTCTGCCACCGACTACATGAGCTGGCGGGGACTTCTTGAAACAGACTCACACTCACTAAGCTGCGTTCAGAGTGCTTGTTGCCCTCTGTGCTCTTGGTGACCCAGACTCACGTTCTTCCCCTTTTGCCTCTTCCTGCTGCCCTCCGGGATCCGCCAGACCACGGGAGTGAGGCCCATTCAGTGCTACATCTTGTGTGCAGCTGCTGTTTTCCCGCTTCACACACCCATCCATCGAACACCACGCCCCCTCCCAGCTGCTTGTCAGTATTCCCCTCCTCCATGTGTGCACTGCTCTGTCCCCCTGAGTCTCTGTGACCTGGTGCCTCTGTTCCCCTGAGTCTCTGTGTCCCCCTGCGCCTCTGGGTCCCCTCTCCCTCAGCCACCCTCCCCATCTCATTTTCATCCCCTCCTATCTCTCCACCTGGGAGTGTAATCTTTGGTTCTGTTCTCCCGCAGGAAGATGACTTGAATGGGATCCACATCGTGGCCTTTGCAGAGAAGAGCGACCCAGGTAGGACCCCCCCCCCCGCCGACTCCCACCCTCCACATCTGCTCTCTGGTACCTTCAGCAAGAACTGGCTTCTCACCTTGGTCAGCCCTCACCTTGGTCAGTCCTCACCTTGTCTCTTCCCCTCACTTCCCGCCTACAATGCAACCGAAAGACACCGGGCACCCCCTGGTGGTTGCCAGCTGGGCATGAACCCCTTTCCTTCCTGCCCATGGACTCGTCTGTGCCGCCCAGACTAGGACTGACCTGGGAGAGTGAAAGCACAGCCTAGCTTTACGGGCGTGTGTGTGTGTGAACTGTTCACAGTAAAACTTTACGTCTGTAGCCTATGTAGATAACAGTCCTACCTTAAAATAACAGTGCAGGCGCCCTTGGTCTCTCAAATACTGTCCATGCCCAGGAAACGTAATGGAAAATATTTCCCCACATAACGAGAACCGGGCCAAAAAAGCAGCTGATTTTTAAAGTGTCAAATGACCCTACAAATGGATGAATAGCTTTGTTTTATTTTGGAGCTTGGACAACTTTTTCCTGGTTTCACTCTTTGTAACATCAGTGGAGAGTGAAGTGCAGGAAAAATTAATTTTGCAGGAGGGGAAATGCTGAGTCTCCCGGGCAGTGTTCTGTGAGACCAGGGGTCACCGAAGGGAAAGGCGAGGTGGAGAGGTATGTTTTGGGAGGCCTGGAACAATCCAGAATGCAGCTGGCGAAGGCAGGGGACTTCATTTCTGACAGCTAAGCAGCCAGGCCTCGGGCTCTGAGGCACCTAGGCAGGGGCTCCATCACCGGATAGGTGCCCACACTGCCGTAGGCTGACTGACGCGGAACCTTCAGGAACCTGTCGTTTCACGGAGCGCTGGGCAAGTTCTCAGGTGCCATCGGGTCTGGGAACCATGGCTCCGGGGACTGAGGAGTTCTGTGGTGTGTGCCCGGGACCCAGGCCTCTGGTACATTCCCAGGGACAGAGGGGAAGCAGAGGCTCATGGAAAAGAAACTGCCCCGGAGAGCCCAGGAGTTAGCCGGGTTTCCCAAAGGAGGAACAGATTGTCTGGCACATGCCTTGACACACAGTAGGTGCTCAATAAATACCCGCCAGGCAGATGATGAGACAGGCAGATGCCTGACGGAGCCCAAGGCTGGCTCGTGCCTGTGGGACCACTTCTCTTTGTTGTCGTCCGTACACAGTCAGCTGCCTCTGTTTCCTACAGACCCAAACTCCAAGTGTGTTTATTGTACAGTTAAAAAAATTGAGATACAGCCCACATACCCTAATAGTCCCCTTTCAAAGTGTGCAGTTCAGTGCATTTTAGTACATACACAGAGCTATGCAAATATCACCACCATCTCATTCCAGAACATCTTGGCCCTCAGAAGGAAATTCTGTGGGCATGGCCAGTCTCTTCCCGCCCCTCCCCCAGCCCCTGGCAACCACTCTGCCAATTTCTGTCTCTGTGGATCAGACAGTTCTGGATGTTTAAATGGGATCCTGTCACATGCGGCCTTTCGGGGCCAGGCACCTTTCACGTAGTGTAACATTTTCAAGGTTCATCCTTCATGTGACATGCATCTGTACTTTGTTCCTTTTTAGGGTTAAATAATATTCCACCGCACAATGTCACAACCAAATCTGTGCTCCGAATTCTCTGACAGCTTCCTCCTCCCAGCCCCTTTTTCGTATTAGAATTTTTGGATGTCCATTGATGTTCCAGTCTCTCCATCCAGTTTTCCAGTTTCTGGTTGGAGAAACTCTTCAAAGATAATCTAGTCCTTGTCCCCCAAAAAGAAAAAAAAAGAGCCAGCAAGGTCCCAGCTTCCTTCCACAGATCCTGGCCCCGCCTCCGCCCAGGAGGAGAAAAGAGCAAAGGAGGCCAGGTGCCCCAGGTTGAGAAGCTACAAGCAAACAGAAGCACATCCCTGGTGTGTGAGCAGAGAGGCCACCGCCCACTGGCCGGACTCCAGGGGGCTCTGCTCCCGCCCCGCCGGCCCCCTTCCCGGCTGTGGGGAGGCCCGTCTGGCTCTTGGGAACAATGGAACAAAGAGGCCTCCGAGAAGTTGCAGGAACCTGTTCCACCGAGATTGCCGCGCATGAATCAAGCTCCTGAAACTGTTTCCACCTCCTCCCTGCACAAATATCCCTGGGCCTGAAGCCGAGCCTTTTCCCAAGCTAGGGCTTGTCACTGGGAAGCTGGGAGAAAAGTGCTTGTGGGGGAGGGGGAGGGAGGGGGGGAGGGAGGGCCTGGAAGCACCTTTTTTCATGGAGGGCGGGCCTGGCCTGCTCAGGGCTGAGAAAGGGAAAGGCTTTTCTGTCAGGCTTCCCTGACTCTGTGGCAAGTCAGTCCTCACTCACGGGTCACTGGTGTGTGACCCAGGGCGGGGCGGCCTGGCTTCGGACGGGGCATCTTACTGCTGCCCAGCCAGGGGGTCCCCCTCTACCTTTGCTCCTGCTACAAAGTGCCTGTTGCTCCACCCAAACCCCTGCCCACTCTCCAAAGAAGGGTTCTACACTTAGAACGGTAGCAACGCGGCTCTTCCTGAAGAACGGCCCGACTTGAGGAAGTGTGCCCTGAGCCTCGCAGAGAGGATCTCACGGGTCCCTAAAGCCGCTCCATGACATATGCATGATGGTGAGGAAGACGAGGATGACGATCACTTATTGTGTGTTTACGCGACATGCCAACCTCATGTGGGAGGTGCTAGTTTCATTCCCATTTCACACCAGAGCAAGCTGAGGCCGGAGTGGAAGACTGGTTGGGACGCGGTGGAACCGGAATCAACCTGAGGACTGTCTGGCTTCCCAGCCACGCCCACACCCGCCAGGCCCTGGCACAGGCTTTGTAATACCCCCCGATGTCATCTAAGTGACAGCCAGCCTGCCCGCCTTCCTCTCTGCTGTTCTTCACTGCCGCCCCCCACCCTGCCCCCAAGGTCAGAGAGACCCAGAGAAGTTCAGCGGCACACCCGAGATCACGTGTTCAGAGGCTGAGCAGACACTCAAGCTTGGATTTCTTGGCGGCTCCTCTGGATCCCGGCCACTGGACCACACTGCCTGCCCGCCCCCCACCCCCGCCACTGCTGCCCCAGCCTGCTTCAGACCAGACACTACTGCAACCTGCTTGGGGAGGGGGGAGGGGGAGGGAGAGCAGAAGACAGAGGGGAGCGAGAAGAGAGCCTAATTATGAAGACAAGGCCCCCTTCCTCCTCCTCGCCCCCTGATGTCCCCAGACTTGGAGTCTGCGCTTGTACAGCAGCAACAACAGAAGTCACCTGAGTGACTGGGTCCTCCAAACACTCGTCCTTCTGGCCTTCCCAGCAAAGGGCCGTGTTCACCGCCTGCAGACAGGTCTGTCCCACAGGCCCTGGGGCAACGAGCCCCCCCTGCAGCAAGCTCTCCTCCCCGCCTCCGTCTGCTGAGGACCGGCCTGGCTGCGAGGGTGCAGGAGGCTCCGGGGCCCCCGCCCTGCCTGCTGCCTGGCCTCCTCCTCCAGAGCCTCCTCCCCCCTGCGGTGCCCAGAGTGCCGCCTGAGCTGCTGTCTGACGGGTTTGCAAACGGACGTCTCTCCACTCCCACCCCCAGAGGGGTCTGCATCAGGCTGACATCTTCATAACACTTGAAAGGCTCGCAAAGTAGCGTTTCTACATGAGTGCGTGCTGGATGGATACCACCCCCCCAGGGCTCCGGGAGTGTTAGCACGAACAAGCTGGAAGGCAGGACTGGCTGCCGTAGGTGCTGGCGGGACAACTGGTGACACAACCGGTGACAGGCTCCGATGGTCGTCTTCGAGCCCCGCTCCAACTGAGTGTCAACCACCTTGGGTGCTTGTCAGGTGGTTTGGAGACCAATCATCTCACACAGGAACGCTGACCACTTACTTGAGCTCCCAAATTGAAACGTGGTTTGCCGAAGCGCACCTTTGCTCAGTGCTAAATGGCATTCCAAGTGCTTAGCAAAGGTCGGCATGTGTAATCTTCCCAAGGACCCTTTGTGGTGGGTGTGATCATCTTCCTCCAGCACAGACGGGCGTTGGAGAACCTCCCCAGGTCCCGTGGCTAAAACGGGCGGAGCTGGGATTCAAACCCAGCAGCCCCGCCCCAAGCCCGGGCTCTGTAGCCACCAGCTTCTGCTCCTCCATCACAGAAACCATCCCACTGTTTCGCCGACCCCGGGGCCCACGGGCCAGGACCGACAGCGGAGAAGGGGGCCGTGGTAGGGAGCCGAGGGTGTCCGGATGTCTCGAGTGCCCTCTCCGGACCACAGAGCCCACACAATGTCCCCCATTTCTACCAGGTGACCGGGTGACTGCCATGTCAAGGGACCTCCCGACTGTGTCCTTCTGAGGCTCCCCAAAGCGCCCAGGTTCTGGGGGTCACGACACTGCTGTTTGAGAATCCCACGCTCACTGAGTGGCTCTGGCCTGAGGACGGTCACCTGCCCTGACCCACCGTTGTGTCCCAGCACCTGGCCCTGGGCGGGATACTTTGAGCACACTCAGGATATACCTTCCTGATGAAAAACGAACCCTTCCCATGGATGAAGGATAAAAGTAGTGAAAAAGAAAATCTAAAATGAATAGAAGGTTGATGGAGCAGAGAGGGAAGGACAGACAGAAAACCTCTACGGTCCAGTCCGTAAGTGTCCCACGTGGGAACAGCACATCGTGTGACCAAGGAGGTAAGGGGGCAGCTGCTTTCTCCATTCAGAGAGGGAACAGAAGTCCCAGAGAGGCGAAGACCCCTATGCAAGGTCGCCCGCACCAGGCACAGTCTCCGAGCTGTGTGAAGCCCGCCCCCACCTACGTACCTGTGTCACCTGCCACGTGAGCAGCTGCGGCCCCGCCCTGACAGCCCGGCTCCCTGAGTCCAGGTGTCTCTCCGGGAGGAGGACCCTGAGTCCCATAACCACGTGATGGGGCATCAGGGAGGGCCCTCTGTGGTGAGCATGGCCAGCTGCCCGAGGGTAGAGTCACCAGGACAAGTGCAGGGCAGGCATTACTCCTGGGACATCGCTGGGTCTCGGGCACACGTGTCTCTGCCGAACGGAGCCCTGGCTCCTGACATGGCCGTGACAGGCCTAGAACTGGTCCCCGGGGCCTGGTGCAGTCTCGTTCCCACCAGCCCCTCGCCGCCTGGGAAAGAGGAAAGTGTAATCGCAGGGTTCTCCTCCCACGGAGACGTGATTCCCAGAGGCCTTGAGCCTGCCGTGGGAAACCTGGGTCAGCAGGAGCCCTCTGCCCGGGTCGTGGGACCTCAGGGCACAGGCCGTGTGGCAGGAAGGAGTCACAGCCCCCTCTTCTTTATTTAGGTCCGTCTCTGAGGCTCAGGCTCACTTGGGGACAGTGCTAAGTGGACCGGCCTAAGGGGCTGTGGCTGTGTGAGCCTGGGACTCAGCCGCGGGTCAGGGGGAGGGGAAGGGACAGTCCGGCTGCTCCAGGGGAAGGCGGAGCCCCCACCAGCCCATGTGCAACCCTGGCTGTCTCCGCGGGGCCCAGCCCTTGACCCTGCCCCCAGCTCCCTGGCCTGACGCTTCTACCCCCTCAAGCCACTCAAGCACCAGCTGGAGGAAGGAAGAGGGCAGAGCTTTGGTAGGAGCTTCCCCCAGACCCCAGGGGGAAGCAGATGGTGGAAAGGTCTCTAGCGTTGGCAGACCACGGACCTGAGTCAGAATCCTGCCTCTGCCACTTGCTGGCACGTGACACCGGGCAAGTCACACCCTCTCCCTGTCCTCTCGATTTCATCCTCTTCAGGACGGAAATAATAAAGCCCTCCTAACCGCCATCAGGACTGAATGTGAAGGTTAAATGCAAAAGTACCCAGGAAGTGCTCAATGAATACTCCTAAAATATCAGATCGGACAGCTTAACAACTTTAAAGCAAACAACGCGGCCCGTGTTCTAACCCACACGAGGCACGGGCTCGCAGACACGCCGGCTTGTACGCCACCAGCCTCTCGTCACAGAGTCAGAAGCCGAGGGGCAGGAGGGGCAGCCCCTGCTCTTCTCTTGGGGTCGTTCTCGGGGTGTGACTTCCTGTGGCATGTCCTCTCCCCTGTGGGGGCCACGAGTCTATGCAACCCACCCCTGGTGCACTAACATGAACTCACGGAACGAACCGGTGAATGGCCAGATCATTTCAAAGTAATGGCTAAAACGAACTGTGTGCCAGGCACCGTCTCAGTGCCTCGGAGACACTAACTCATTTAACTCACAACCATCATTAGGTGCCATTATTATCCCCGCCCCCACCATATAGAGCAGATCATTTGCCCTAAGTCACACTCTCAGTGGCAGAACCAGTATGCCGACCAAGGTGGTTCGCCCCCAGCGTCCGAGGGTCTGAGCCCCGGGCTGGGCTCCCTCCCTGAGCACAGGCCCTGCTCTGTCCTGGGACATCTCCGCGGACGTGGAGGGACTGTGCTCATCACAGAGCTCATCATTCTGAAGGTCAAAGGGCTGCCCTTGGCTCTGGATGAAGCCTCTCTGGCTGTAATGTCAACCTCATTTGTTAATTTACTCTTTGCATGGTTTTTTGTTTGTTTGTTTGTTTGTTTGTTTGTTTGTTTTGAGATTTCCACGCTCCTCTCTGGACCCCAAACCATTTGCAGTCTTAAAACCAGGCAGGAAGCCCCAACTCTGCCTTCTCTTGTGTATGTCAAAACTCCAATCCACTTGATTTTTCTTGCAGAAACCAATTTTTATTCCTTCAATCTTGTTTGGAATCTACAAACCTGCTCTAGAATGCAGAATAGGAAAGGTTCTTGTATGTAGTATTTTTTTTAATGATTAATCCCACCATTCTGGGATTTTCCCAGCAGGAAACTACAGCGCCATCCTGTGGGTGTTCGGTGTTAGTTCTGATCGAGAGCTTTTCCTGGGGGACAGGTGTGCCTCCCCAGCTCCTCCCTGCCCCTCCCTGGGGGCCTTTTGCACCTCAGGTGTGCTTCTCACTGGAATTTGGGTCCGTGTTGTGGAATTTCCTCCTCTTTGTGAATGTCTGACCTGTCAAGGTCTCTTTTAAATTTGATTCTCATCCCCCAGACTATGGTCAAAGTCACCCCCTTTATCATCACCCCTTTCTTCTTGGCTGGCGAGAGCAGTCACTGACAGTGTTTTGGAGGAGTCCCCCTTGAGGCCCGTGTATTCTGATGCATAAATCCACAGGTCACCCCCGTGGCACCATATTCCCTGACTGGTGATACAGCAATGTACCCAGAAGAACGGGTCCCATTGTGTCTGGATGGTGGCAGCCAGTGGCACTCTATGGACCTTCTCAGCCACACCTGCAGGCTGCAGGAGGGAGAACTCCCGGTCCCACCTCCGCCCCAGTCCCCAGAGTGGTAGACAGTCCACTCTAAAGCACAGGGCCCTGTGGACCTCACATCTCTGTCATAGATGGAAAGGCCACCCAGGCCACCCTCATCTCTGCAGGGAGGGGCTGCAAGCTACAACAATCCTCGTCTCTGCTAGTGGGAGCTCTGCTTTCCAGGTAACAAGGCCTAAGGGGGCCCAGTCTGACTCTGATGGATTAATGACCTTGAAGTGATGACGCCCACTCAGGCAGAGCTGCTAAGAACAGTGAGCATTTTGCCTGGAATATAGTAGAAAATGAGGAAGTGCTGAGAAACACCTTTAGCAGGAGGCCTGGACTAGCCAAGCAAAGGCTGGGGGGCCTGGGGAGAGGAGAGGCTTGTTCAGCAGAGGCTGCAGAGAAGGGCTCAGACTGGCTGGGCCACGCCACACACATGAAAGAAGAAAAGCTTTACAAAGAAAGGGCAGTGGCCACACTGAATTCCTGGGCAGCTGGTGAGTGGCTTGTATAGAAGGTGTGCATTTCGGGCCACAGATGCAGCTGTTCAAGAACGATAACTTTATTATCTAGAGCTGAGCCTAAATGTCACACAGAGGGACAAAAACTGGGTCTGACAATGAACCATGCCCCACCCCTGCCCACCCTCCCCGGGGGTCTTGCTGGTTCCCAGGCAGGAAAAGTGTACATCTGGTCAGTCACCGTCATCATCACCAACTCAGAGTGGCACCTGTGGAGAAGTCTGTCATTCCATCTGGCCTCTAGCTTTGTTCCCAAGCCACCCGTGGTCCCCTCCACCCTGTCCCTGGATCTGTGTGGCCTGTCAGCGTCCTCTGGGATCCTCAGAAGCACAGAGAAGACGGTGGGGCCTCCCAGCTTCTCTGCTCGGTGCTTCTGCACGGAGGTTCTCCGAGGGCTTCCGGGTCTTTCCACCCTCCTTAGTTTCATTCTAGAACAAAGCACGGGTGTCCTGTATTCTAGGACTGCCCGATATGCTGGCACTGCTGTGTGTGGACTCCTGGGACGGCACGGGTCTGCATCGGTGCCCACGGATGTGTACAGACAGACACACAGGCACTTTCCTGAATCTAAACTCTGTTTCCAGCTGGGAGCCAGGGAGGGGGATTTGCTGAGGGTTTTGTGTACACTTTCTCTTGCTAAACATCTGGGAAGAATGTTCGTTTACGGCACAGAGCAAATGCTGTGGGCAACAGAGGGAAAGCAGTGTTGGTGCCCAGACAGGGCACTGAGCACTTGGTCCTGAGGACCGGGCGCAGGTTCCTCTGCTCTGTTCCTGAACTTTCTGACTCCGGGTGGTCACCTGTCACAAGCAGGTCAGCCGTCGGAGCTCGGCCTCGCCTTGGGAATCAGCCACTTCCCTGTGAACTTCTCATTTCTTTCCTCAAAAACTCTATTGGTGTCTTTGAGTAAGCTGCTCTGCGGCTGGAGTTCTCGTCTGACTCATTTTGTAGAGTAATCCTGTAATTGAGGGTGCGCACCCGATGGCTTAAGAACCCCGTGGAAAGACCGCAGCCTCGGCTCTCCACGCTGGAAGCCAGGCACGCGAGGGCGTCACTCACCCTTCTCCATTCCGCTGCAGACGGCTACGAGTTCCTGGAGATCCTGAAGCAGGTGGCCCGCGACAACACCGACAACCCTGACCTGAGCATCGTATGGATCGACCCGGACGACTTTCCTCTGGTGAGTGGCTCCGACCGGGGCCCATCCTTGGTCACCTTCGCAGCCTCCTGATTGCGTCTGGTCTGAGATCCTGTCATGCGAAGGAGGATGTGAACTGGGAGGGACACTTAGAGAAACCCCGGGGCCGCCCCCATCCAGCGTGGGAGATCTTGGCCACAGGGGCAACATTGAACTTGGGGCCTGGTGCTGCCCTTGACATGGTTAGATCTCGTGTTCTCACTCCCTGGAGACCAGAAGTCCCTCTCTGGGACCCACTCAGGTGAATCCCATAGCTGCCCTCATCCATTACCACCCACTGGCGACAGCCTATTTCACTTCCAGAGCTCGGGCTGTAGTTCTGAGGCCACCGGAGTTACTAAGTAATGAAAGCCAGACACAAATATGTTGTGTAGAGTTAAGAACTTCATGGAGAGAAGCAGCAGCTCCTTGGAGGGAGAGACCCTGCCTGTCTCGTTGTGTCCTCCCGGGTCCTAGCGTGAAGTCCAGCAGGGGACTGGAATGTGTAAGAGTCTTAAACTCTCACTGGCGTCAGCGATCAGGGATCAGAGAGCCTTGGTTACACTTAAAGAGAACCGGCAGCATTTGTCCGACACACAAGCCCGGTGATGGCGGTCACAAGTGGAGCCAGCAGACTGGTCTGGATGCCTGGAACTGTGGCAGTTTCTCTGTCATCTCTTTTTATCCTGCCAGCAGCCCCGTGAAGTGGGGACTGTGGCGGTCCCTGTCTTGCAGATGAAAGCAATGACAGCTGGAGAGGTCAGAGCAGTCAGCCACGGATGCAACGTTCCAGCCCAGGCCTACGTGGTGCCAAACTTGTCTACCGGTCCATAGACTTGAGCGTGAGCTAACTGTTGGCAATCAGGACAGGTTTAATTATCATGAGGTTATAAATAGTAACTCCAGCTTCTTCCAGGAATTCTCATTTGGTACACAGGTCACGACTGGCCATGCTGTGGTTAAACAGACAAAAGTGAGGCCTTTTAGAGATTGCAAGGGTCCTGAAATCCAGTCCAATATGCAGGATGAGCGAGTCCAAGGCGGAGACTGGCGTGACATCTGAGGTCAATGTCAGGCTATCACAACAAAGTCACGGCCTCATAAGGAACTACATGTTATAAATTCGACCGCTGCCTGATTTGTTTCAAGTTTGTCTGGACTATTAAACTGGCCGATGGTCTGCAGTTCTCCTGCCCTGTTCTGTGTGTTTGCCTTGCTTTGGCAAAGGAGGAATCTTCAGACTATTCTGATTTCCAGGTTCCTGACTATCCCCAGGCCCCATCAGGCTGCGTGTGTGCTTGGGGGACTTTCCGCACTGAATGCCTCCATTTTTCAGCCCCCGGCCCGTACTCCTTTAGTCCCACCACAGGCAGAGATCAGGCCCCGAAGAACCCACGCCTGGCCCGATGAGGAAGCGCTACTCTTGCTCACACGCTAACTTAGGACACGCCCCTGTTTGCCCAGCCAAATCCCGAAGCAGAGGGGTGTGACGTAAGGGATTTTTAAATGGGACATTGAAAGAGGGGTGGGGGGAAATGGCCCTGCCACCACCTCTAAACTACAAAAGCCCCAAGCAATTTGGGGACCGACTTTGGACCACCTCTGAAATACTCGCCCTTACAGCTGTAGAAGCTTTCATATTCCACGTTTTCATAGTTTTTGTTAGGACATCCTTTTTTCCCCCATGCTTATTTAAAGGGCTTGAGGGCTGGGGCAAATCTTCAATTTCCTAAGTGCCCACAGCTGTCTGGGAGCCTGTCAAACAGTGGTGACCTAGTTTCTATGATGGGATGGCAGGTGGGTTCACCACAAACAGTGATTTTAGCGGGGAATGCCCTCTTCCCACAGTCTAATTTTATTTTTTGTTGCCACAGCTTGTTGCCTACTGGGAAAAGACTTTCAACATTGACCTATTCAAGCCGCAGATTGGGGTGGTGAATGTGACGGATGTGAGTACGCCCCATGAAAGCCGGCTCAGGCCCCCGCAGCCTGCCGGTGAGGTCAGGCAAGGAGTCCAGTCCCTCCTGCAGTGGGCAGGACCCGGGGCCCTGCCCAAGCCCAGGAAACTGCCAGAGCAGCCCCCGCCTCGTCTCTGAGCTGGTCCCAACTCACAGCTCCATGGTTCCCTTCCACGGGTGCATGTCTCCGCTCATGGGGCCAGCCTGGCCCATTGTGTATTTGGAAATTTCCACCCAAGTAAACTCTCCTGTATTTTCTTCCAATGCCCTGAAACAAGGTCTCTCTGCATGAGGGAACCCATGTTGGAAGCTGCCATTGTACAAGGGGTGATAGCCTGACTCCCAGCAGTGAGGACCGCAGACAGAGGACAGGGGTCTCAGAAAGTCAGGGAGAGAGCAACGCGGATGGTGGGCTTCTCCTCGCCATCCTGGCACCACTGCACCAAGGGTGGGAAGGGCGGGGAGGTGCACCGGCTGAGCATGAGGAACTTCAGACCTCAGTCCAGACACCTGAGGCAACTCGACCGTAACAACGCAGAAAGGGGACAGACACGAGAGGCAAAGAGTGGCCAGGAAGGGACAGTCACAGGGGACCCACTAGAGCCACAACCAATTGTGGCGCAGCCTCTTGTGATGGGCCAGTTAGCCACGCCCCTTCACCCTCTAGGTGGCTGCGCAGTCATCTGGGGAATTCTTCACTTAATATTTCGTGAACTATTGTTATATTAATAATAACATTAACAGCGGTACTTTTAAAAATTGCTCAAATTAAAACATTTCACAGCAGAACAGTAGGACATAAGGTGAAAAGCAAGAGCGACCCTGCACGGCCCTGACTCCATCCCTGGTCTCATCCCCGAGGGAGCCACTGTGGTGGTTCGATGACCGTCCTCCCAGAAATCTAACACGTATGAAGTAGAACGTATAAGTAGGAAGCACAAATCGGCAGGCAGAGCAGCCCCAGGGACTCAGAGTGCGGCACCGGGAATACAGCTCACGGTAGTGCCGTGACTGGGCAGTGCCCGGCGGGGACGCCAGGCGACCCCTTGGTCAAGTGCATGACTATATCACAACACTGTGTATGGAAACCAATGCAAAGCATTGTTAAAACAATACGGAAGACCGAGAACCAAATGTTACGAGCAGTATCAACTTATGAATAGCACTGGATTTTCTTTCAAAGCTGTTTAAAAAATGGAATATGTGCATTGTTATACAGGTATCTTGTATAGAGTCTGAGGGGAAAAAAACCAATGCAAGTACAATTACAATTCATAAAAATACTTTCGATGTCCCTGGGGACTACTGTTCTGGGGCTCTCTCCCAACCCCCAGCTCTTCCTCTCAGTATCAGCCTCTTTCAAGGAGGGTGGGCAGGTTTGGGTAGGGAGTGGGCTCTGCCAAGGCAGTGCTGGTGACCCGGAGGGGCTCTGCAGGGTGGGGTGCAAGGTGCAAATGAGGGGTGTGGGGGGGGAACCGGCATCGTGAGGAGGGAGGGGTTGCAGGACCTGTCAGTCTCTGCTCCACGGCCCCGCCTCCCTGTCTACTCCCCTCCCCCAGCCTTTGCACACATCACACACACACACACACACACACACCCCTTGATATTACACACACGGGAGACTGCATGTGCCATTCTGCAGCCCGGCATTCCCGTGGAACAATGTGCACACGCTCTGATAAGCGTGAGTGACCCAGGGCCCACCCAGCAGAGCCCCCCGAAACCCCCTGGTCTGGCTTGCTCATCCCGCCTCCACTCACTCCTTTGTCCTGTCCCCGCAGGCTGACAGTGTCTGGATGGACATTCCAGACGATGATGACCTGCCCACGGCTGAGGAGCTAGAAGACTGGATCGAAGACGTGCTTTCTGGGAAGATAAACACTGAGGATGATGACATTGAAGATGATGATGAAGATGACGACGATGACGATGATGATTCTGATGAGGAGGATACCGATGACAGTGACGAAGATGATGAGTAGTCCCGACTCCACCTGGTTTTGATGGGAACGAAACCACAGCTGCCCAGTTCCATACCGACAGCCCAGCCAGCCTCCCCCTCTTCCCCAGCACCTCCCCGCCCACCCACTCCGCACGGGGGTGGCACACCTCAGCCAATGCCCTTCCAAACCCAGTCACCCCACTCAGCAGGGACAAGTGGGGAACTGTCCCCAGGTTGACTGTCTGACCTTCATGGAGAAGCCCCTGTGCCTTGTCTGACCATCAGTGGTCAGTGCAGTGCTGGAATCTGGCAGTCCAGGGAGAATACCGCCCAACACCCCTGCTGAAGTTTACTTGTCGCCCTTGACTCTGACAGCCACAGAATTGACGGCTTGCTAACTCGCAGGTGTGGAGTGACCTTACTGCCATCAGAGCCCAGGGAAGACACACGGCGGATCCACAAAGCCCCATGCCTGGGACCTCGGTTAGGAGCCCTCTCACCGAAGTTCAGCCTTGGAACTGAGTTTATCCATCAGCTTCTCTTGTCTCTATTAAACTGATTCTTTGAAGTGCAGGCCAGACCATTATGAATGCAGATGCAAGCTTTCGGATGGCTGTGGGGAGACTTTGATGCCCATAGACGTCATCGTCATTTCTAGATGTTAGGATACTGGGGTAGAAGCTTGCTTTGCTCTCTGGACTTGCCTTTGGGTGCAAGTCTCACCTGCACACCTGGGAGTGGGGAGAACGGAATGAATGAAAGGGCTCCAGATATTTGGATGCGCTTGTGTCCCTGATTGGGTCAGCTGGCTTCCCAGCCTGGGCTCCGATCCGGACACCCCTTCTCTGCCTTCCCGGCTGGAGTGGATGCAGAGATTGGTCTACCCACATGCCGACCAACTCTCCGCCCATCAGCACGCCCACCGCTGACCAGGACAGCAATAAACAGATGTCACAGCGGTGCCCCGAGGCACTAAAGAAAACAACCCAAGTGCCTTCTGAACTCTCTGAAAATTACATTGTGCTCGGTAGTTTTAGCGTTCAGTGTGAATTATAATGTGTTAATTTATTTTCTCAGTCTTTTAACATACGTAAGACACTGCCAATTCTTTGCAAATGGGGCAGTCCTTTTATGGAATACTAGCTAACTAACTCATTAAAGTCCTATTTTGAAAATATTAAGACTATCTTGAAAAACCCTCTGTTGCTTTCTCTGATCTTGCTCCTGTTCTCCAGGCTTCTTTGGTTTTCCATTTTGTCCTCCCTTCCTCAGCCCGTCCTTTAAATGTGAGTGTTTCACAGTATCCCTCGACTCCCACATTCTTCTAGGGCGGCATCGGCCCTGCCCAGCAGCTGTCACCTGTGTGCTGATGACCCTCACCTCTGGGTCTCTAATCCAGACTCAGACCCATTCATTCAGCTGCTTCTGGACATCTGGGTTTGGATGTTGCATAAGCGCTTTGAACAATGTAACCAAACCCGAGAGCACTACCTTCTCCCCTAGGTCTCTCCTCCTCTTTCCAGGGGCACTCCGGTTTGGATGAGTGATATCACCATCTATCCAACCGCCTCGGGGACCTGCAGGGGCTTCCTTCCCCTTGGTTGCCATGGCACTTTGTACTTATTTAAATTGCAACACATCTTTCTATATCTATCTTTTCACTACACTGTTAGTGATTCCTTGCCATAAGGCAAGGAATTCATTTATTTATTTTTGTATCACCAGCACCAAGGAGATATTCCTTTATTGAATTGGTGGCTGAATAATTGATTAACCAGAATACCTCTAATTCCCCAGAACTGCTTGATACCAGTGGTGAGGGCCTCTTTTCTTTCCCTTCTCCCCCTCACAGTGCGAGGCAGGCCCGTCCCCAGCTGGGCTGCGTTGCCATCCAGCCAGGCCCAAGCACACCCACCTCGAGTAACCTCTTGGGGAGGTAAGTTTTCCAAGCCATCTTTGAAGCTAATCTTTCAAATAGTCAAGGAATGTGGTCGGTCATAAAAGTGGTCTGTTTCCCAGCCCCGGAAAATCTCCTTGTTCTCAGAGGGAGACTGCGTCGTGGTGTTCCTGTCGGAGCTCTGAGGGTCACACTGCCACCATCTGAAAGGAGCCGTTTAAGCTGGTTTTTTACTGACTGTTCTGGGCCGGGAGCCCCCTGCTATTGCTTTACGTGACTGATCCGATCTCACTTCATGCTGGTGGAGTTCCTAGAAGATGGGCCTGGTTATTGTCCCCCTTTTACAGATAAAGAAACTGAGTGAGGCCCAGAGGGCTCACCCAATTTTCCCACGGTCACAGAACTTTAAGAGAGTGTAAATGTGATCCCTGTTTAACGCTTAAATCAATGATTTAAAGTACATTAAATTCCACAAATTGAGGGATCAGAGGATTCCATTTTTTCTCAGATGGTGCCCAAAGGTGAAATCAAGTGAATTCCCCATAATCCTTTTTACTGATTAAGCCAAGAGGCCCCTTCTCATTTCATTTTGGAGGCCATAAGCAATTTGAACAGTATTGGAAAATGTCAGATCATTAGAACTGCAAGGTCATCCTATTAGGAAAAAATAACTTATTGTGTTATCAAGAATGTACGATCAAGCTCTGGCTGGTGTAGCTCAGTGGGCTGAGCACGGGCCTGTGAAGCAAAGGGTCACCAGTTCGATTCCCAGTCAGGGCACATGCCTGGGTTGCAGGCCAGGTCCCCAGTAGGGGGCACATGAAAGGCAACCACACACTGATGTTTCTCTCCCACTCTTTCTCCTTCCCTTGCCTTCTCTCTAAAAAATAAATAAAATATTTTTTTAAAAGAATGCACAATCACTTTCAATCTACTTCTGCAAAATATTCTCTCATGTGAAATGAACTTCATTTTTACAACAAGGCTGTGTACCGTCCAGACCCTGGTGGGTATTGCCCGGGAGCTCTGTGCTGCTGCTGACGCCACCAGTCTTAGGGCATTAAGTTGGGCAGTCCTGACACAACTCCCTCTTAAGTGGTGGTGGGTTCTGGGGCTCTGCCCTTGAACTTCCTTTTGCTGGGTTTTCTCAGCCCTGATCAGCAAGCATCAGAAGCATAAGCTTGTTTTAGAAAAACACAGATGCCTGTCACCAGCCCTGAACACCAGTCCGTGCTGGGGCCTGGCCACCCACATTTTAAACAGAGTCCCTGGGGACTGACCTGAGCCAGGAGGGGGAACCATCACTCTTCGCACACCCCTGGGTCATCTCATCCAGTCTGTGGCTTCCTGCGCCTCTGTCTCCAGCCAGGCCTCTCCTGGGTCCTAAGGCCCCCGCTCCAATGGTCTCCTTGGTACAGCCTCATCTGGATGTCCCATCGGCACCTGAGAGCAACACAGCTTTGGGGCCATAAAGAGGTGCCCTTAAAAAGTAACCCTCTTTCCGTGACTGAGATCTGAACCAACTGAGAGATTGGGTCAAACAGTCAGCAGTCTGGAAAATCACCATTTCTACAGGAAAGCAGTCGTTTGTAAATGAGAGCTTAGGAGAATGTGTTTCCCAGTTCCCCACCTCCAAGTGCAGTCCACCCAAGGGAATCGGATGTGTGGAGAGGACCAAGGCCATCGCCTGCCAGTGGCCAAGGATAGAGAGAGGGGAGAAAAACACTGGGCCCCTGCCCGCCAACACAAACTTCATCGGAAGGACATCACCCTAAGAAGCATGGACCAGCGGCTGTTTCCCAGAACCAGGTGACTCCACCTCTGGACAGAACTGAGGGCTGGGCAAAGGGCCAGCAGCACGGAGGGGAAGGCCCTTCTCCCCAGAAGCAGAAGAGCAGGCAACAGGCCCCTCCCTCGACCGTGTTCGAGCCAGAAACCCTCCTGCCACTTCCGTGCCCCCCAGCTCACATACAGTGGGGATCAGGTCCCGCTGCCCTCCTCACCCACTCTTCCTGTGCACCTGAGGCTTTTACAGCCTCTCACCAGGCACCTGCGGACGCCGCGGCTCTGCCATCCCCAGCCCAGCCTGCACACTGCCATCAAGCCATCTTTCTGAAATGAACAGGCTTATGGCTCTTCAATGACTCGCTAGTCCCGGGAGGTGTTAAAAATAATATTTTTAAAGACTGAGAGGCCAACAGAGTGAGCCAAAGGTTTTCAACTGGCAAACAGAGTCTAGGGCTGCGGGGTAGGAGGCTCGAGGGGAGCGTGCAGGGTGGGGCCTGCGAACCCAGAAGTCCTTGAGGTGTGTCCCCTCCACACGAGGAAAGCAATGCTGGAGCAGTGCTGACGCTGGTGGCTGACCTCTGGGCCCAGGGACTGGGAGCACAGGGCGGGCTGGCTCCCAGCGGCGTGCACGGGGCGTCCATCTTGGAATGGTGGCAGCCAGTTGGTATTTCAGCAGAAGTCAGGTCAGCCCCACTGGCAAGCAGCCAGGGGGTCAGGTCCAGCTTTGTCGTGGGGTCAAAGCCAATTTCCTTCACAAGGCCTGCGTGAGCTGCCCCTGGTTGGCCTCGTCAGCCTCATCTGTCAGGACGCCTCCCCACCACCTGCCCCTCTGCTCTTAGAGCCCGAAGTTGGCGGGAGCCACCTGACAGCTTAACACCTCCAGGCTTGGCTATTCCGTCCACCGGGATGCCTGTCCCTCCCCAGCTGTGCCTCCCAGCAAATCCCTGGCTGTCTTACCTTAAGAGCAAGGTAAGAGACACCCCAGACTCTCAGGGCGCTGAGCAAGAGCTGGAACAGGAAGGTTTAAAGCACCTCATGTCATTTCTACAAATGCATCCTCCTTTTGTCTGATAAGTAGTATGAATTCTATTCATATTCTATTCTATTCAGAACCACAGGAATACATTGAGATGGAAATACAGACAACACACCCAGAGGTCAAACGGAACTGGTGGCTGTCCGTGTCAACATGAGGCTGTATAATTAGAAGATGCTTGCATGACATTCTGACGCCCCTAGGGAATCACCAAGATTCCCCTGGAGGAGAGACCCTGCCGTTCCCACGCCGCTGCTGGTAGGCCTGGTCTCGGCCCGGCTGAATCTGACGCCAACCTCATTCCCTCACTTCACTTCCATAATCTGACAGTTTATCATCTGACATCAAAGCTCTTTCCAAAGTTCTACTGCTGTACTGCGGGCAACAAATGAAAAAGAAAAGAATCCTTGTTTATTCCTGCACAGAGCTTCCGTCTTTTCTGTAGCAGAGTTTGCTCTCAGGGCTATAAATTCTGCCCACTACGGCTGGTGGCTCAGAGAAAACAGCTTATCAATAATCTGCACAGGGAATATCTTCACGTCAATTGCTTTGTCTACTTCCGGTCCATGGACTGGATAGATAAGGATGCTTAGATAAGGATGCAGGCAGCAAGCTGCTCAGGTAAAAAGACAACTGGGTGGAGAAGGCCAGCTCTAACATTTCCTTGTCAAACAATCAAGTTCCCTTTAAATAGACCTATCTAAAAATAAGTCACTAATTTAAATTGAATTCCCTAGCCTCTCACACAGACGATCTAATATAGACACTCCCCAAACCCCTCAACCCTCAAATCCAGGGTCACATCTCTCATTCTTGATTCTAAGATCTTTTTCCACTTGTTGATTTACTCAAAAAGGCCCATTTCACCTCCAGGTGTTAGAACCCAAGATTTTAATTTTCGGTAGTCTAGCCATTTAAAAATATGCTCTTGACCATGAAATGATTGCAAGCAGTAGTTTTTGTTACACTGGCGATTCTACTTCCTCATCTAGTCTGAGGACAAGTTGTCTTCAAGAGGGGATCCAAGTGAGCAAGAGTGAAAAACGTTTCCTACCATGTAAAACTGTTGATCAGAAAGAGAAACAAATTACCACTTGGGTTTTCTGTTTATTTTCCAAGTTTTACAGTATTAAAAAGTGTAACACGTGAAGTGTTTTACAGCTCATTGGGATGGGGGGGCTCCAACAGAAAATGACCCGGATGCCAGGTGCACGCCCCTCGGACGCGCTGCCATAGTTACCGACGCCACAGTGGGAGGGTTCGCAGCGCAGCCTGTGAACACGTCAGCGCGCCCGTGCAGATGGCTGCTGGTGGGGCTTCATTCGTTGGCACGTTGGGAACGTCTGAGCAGAGCCCATCCCGCAGTTCGCACAGGAAATCACGCTTTGTCATACAAGCAGGCTGGCGTGTGAAATCGGCCCTCCTGGTTACAAAGTGCCACGTCAATGAATAAGCGAGAACACGAAAGACCCCGGCCACACTGATGCACACAGTTAAAGCTCCACCGAGTACACAGATTTTGTCACTGAGCTTTTCGGGTGGATGCTGGATTCTAAATCTAGAAGTGTGTCATTCTTTCAACGAAAATGTGATTGTCAAATACACCCCGAAGGAGGCCCGGCCCGGCCCCCAGCAGGCTTGCTGAGAAAGCGGCCCTCCAGCAGCCAACGACGCTCACCCCGCACGGGGCCGGGACCCACCCAACCGCCAGCCTGGCTAGACACACCACACAGGAGTTGGAAACAGCTGCTTGGAAATCGACTTTGGTTCGTCACGTCATACACCAGGGCCCATGGGAATCTGATTTAACTGAAGCCTGCAGTGAATCTATCATAAAAATAAAGGATGATCGCCAGTGTTTGGGTTTTGTCTCCTTTAAAAAAAATATCGCGAGAGATGCTCAACATCAAGTGAAATACAGAAATAGTCCATTACTGCTACAACTCAGGAGCACCAGCGAGGAAAAATCAAGTCTTACCTCTTCCCACTCGGGCTCTGGAGAGGCGATGATGCCAAGCTGTCTAAATGCAGCACCATGTGAGCTGAACTAGACTTATCAGCCACAGACCAGATTTTACTGGGAGTGAGGGCAGGTAAAATAAGGGGATAGACGCCCAGGTCCCTTCCCTGACCAATTCCCTGAGTGACAGTCTCTGGTCCTCAGAGGCGAGACTCCCCCGGCTCTGGGCCTGAGGGGGTTCGAACTCTCCTCCGTGACAAACTCCTTCGGAACACAAGCTCACGTCCCCCCCGGGAAGCTCAGATAGGTAGAAGCACGTACGAAACCACTCAACTGTACATTCAAAATATTTTTACCCTCGTATTATTTCAGTGCCAAAAGAAACACCAAAGACATTCAAGATGAAAGCCCAGAGATTTGTCACCTTTGTCCCCAAGGCTTAAGATAAGTGTGTTTTTATTCCACTATGACCAGGACGGAACGCTGATGTTTTCAAGCTGAGAGAGACATGTGGGAAGTGACCTTTCAGGTGTCGGGAAGCCGCTGTGCTGGGGACACTCTCCACAGAGCTTTGTTCTGCCGGCGAACCAACACAATGGGGTTATCTGTGTCGAAATGGGACGGCCTGGCAAAGGGACGCAGAGTCCTGAAGTCTAACTTCATTCGATAGTTTTAGATTGCTTATCTACCCTTTGAAACACGTCCCCATTCCTGGTGAGGACAGTGCCCGGGGTATGAGCGCTATGTCCCCGCCCCCCCCCCCCCCCCCCCCACCGTCCTGGACCAAAAACAAACAGCAGGAGAGAAAATGGTAGTTTCGGCACGACAGAGCCAGAGCTTAAAGACACTGTTTTCGGAGGCCTATTTTAACGTCTGTTCTCTAAAACTCCCGAGGGAAACCAGTGGATGCAAAGAGCTCACTGAGAACACAGGTCAGGAGGTGAGGGCAGGCTCCGCTGCAAACCAGCCTGGCCAGGCCCGTGGGCTGTCCCTCTCCCAACCGGACCAGGGACAGGATGTTGACAGCAGCAGGCAGAGGCCTCCTCATCTCAGGAGGCCAGGTCAGCCCCCGCACACCTCCCTGCGACCAAAGCCCAAGGTGCACACCGGCCCAAGCCAGCAGGTTGCGTGGGGAAGGACGGAGGGGCAAAAGCAGGGGGCTGCCTCCTGGTGCAACACCAGGTACCACACCAGCAGGGCTGCTTTTTCTGGGAGCAGGAGATTCTCAAGTTCTCTGCACTGAAAATCCTGAGATCTGCCCTCATGGTGGAGAAGCTCCAGGTGGGGCCACACCTCTGGGGCAAACCCAAAGTGAAGGAGCACAAGCAATTCCACCTCCAACAAAACCCTCATCCCAGGGTCTGGTTCAAGGTCAAGCACCTGTAGGTCCCTCCTTTGCATCCAAAATGCCAGATCACATAGATCATACCTCAAGGTGTATGACCGAGAGACTGGAACCAAACATTGAATGTGAGCTTCCATGAACTGTCCATGGGACCATGGGCAAGTCTCCCCCTCTCTGATACCCCTTTTCTCACCTGTACGATTAAAAGAACCCCCACGGTAGAGGCACGTGAGGACCACAAGGCTGTCTGGAACAGTATCTACACACAAGGCCTGATAAATAGATGTTAGGATCCTTCTCTTTCTTCTTGGACCATAACGTCTTATCAAAAACGTGACCTGAAGTCTAAATTTCCTGAGCATCCACTTAATTAAAGCTCAATACAGGGATTTCCATGCAGCATCTGACCAGCTCAATTCCATTACCATTCCATTACCACACCGAATACCATTCAAGAACTGTGTATGGGCTTAAGAACAATTCATATTTTATTTAACACGGAATATGACCACAAGGTTACATAGTAGTAAATTCACAGTAGTGATTTATTTCTTGTAACAAGATCCGTGAAGCACGAACACTACCCGGGAACACTCACACCACTTTAGTTAGAATTGCAAGGTCTCTGCTGCAGGACTGTTTAAATATCGTGCTAACATTTCCCCACCACCTTCAGTAATCAATCTTGTTTTTTTGATGATGCTCAATTTTTAAGCTATATTGAGAAACATATAGTAAGGCTTCCAGGGTAGTGAAGCCGGAGCAGTAATTACAATGAGCTCAACCTTCCTTTCTGCGTTCAGGTTGGAGGGGCTAGGACAGGGGTTGGCAGACTCGCCTATAGAACAGTGGGCTCCCCAGAAGACACTTCTATGCACACACTCATCCACATAAGCACACAAACAAGTGATCCATGAAGATGCACACCTGTCTGCTACAGATCACACAGATGCTCAGGTGTCTAACATATAAACACGTCACCTCCCTGGTAATACACAGACTGAGAAATGCGCATGTGTATGGAAACACATAACCACGAACAATCGACATCCCTGTTTAGGGGGCCTTACATAGCAGGGCCCGGGTAGAAGAGAGTCAACCAAAGACCTGATTTTTTGGGTTCCACTGAATGGCTGGAACGTTCTCTCTCCCAGGGACGGGACTGAGAAGGAGCAGGGTAATCAATTTCTGCCAACCCGACAGGCCCATGGCTCCCCACAGAGGTATGGCCACACCTAAACACAGGCACTCAAAAGTGGAGATGGCACGCAAGACTGCGGTCCTGGACTATCCCCGACTGCAGTGGAGAGAGCAGGCAGCACGTCCCTCCCCAACACACAGCAGCCGCTACGTCCTCCCCAGTGAACAGGAGGTCCGAGCTCGGGGGCTGGGCCGCCACACTACCCACAGCACACGCACAGGCCACCCACCCCTTGCCATTTGCTGCACAGAGTCTGTCCTGTCTGCAGCTTTGAAGAGCTGGACAGAGCAGGACAAAGGGAGATGATGATGGGTGGGCAAAAACCTGGCTGAGCATTTTCTCTGGGGCTTATTTGCCAACCTTTTGCAAAAGCATTACGTGTTTTGACTTAATGGATAATGCAAAGGATGCACGAGCCACAAAACCTTGACGTCCCTTCCACCTCCTAGAACGCAGACTAGAACAGTGAGGTCATGAATGAATAAAAATTGTCATTATCTTCCCAAGGACACACTGAGGGACAAAAGGTATCTACTGGTTCAAATGCTGCCAAAGAGAAGAGCAGCACTGCCTGCTGATGCCTTCTGCTCCTTAACATGGACATTCACATTTTAATAACTTCAGTGGAAAGTTATAGAAAAATCTATAAACATTTAAGGCAAATGAAATCCTGTCCCTTCTAATGTGGATGTATCTAGATTCGACTAGCTAGCCCCAGGGCACAGTTCATCCCCTTTTAAAAAGAATAGCCTATTGGTTCCAAGAACTAAAATAAAACCGCGTTGTGTTCAATTGTGCAATGTAGCTTTCTGAAACCTTAAATGTTTTAACAGCATTTATATTGTTCCCACGGCACCAGTAACTCAAGCTATTAAGAGTTTGGATGTGCAAAGGCTGTGTACAAAGATTCTGCATTTTATTTTGGTATTCTTTCAAAAAAGGACTCCATACAAAGTCAGTGTAAAAAAAATCAATACTCAATTTAAAACAGAAACAATAATCTCAGAAAGTCTGACATTATCCTATGCCAAGACTTGGGCGGGGGGGGGGAGAAACAGGGAGAAAGAAAATAGATTCCTTAATTTAAACCTTTCTTTACCCCCGCCGGCGTGCGGGACCCAAAGCAACCAATCCGCCTTAACCCCTTCTGGACGGGTAACTTCAGACAGGCCTGGAAGCCCAGGACTTTAGGGTGCTGGAGAGCAGCGTCATTATGAACTACAAGGAGAGACATGTGGCACTTCCACTGCTGGGCTCCCGACACAGCAGCCTCTGACACATCCCGTCTGGGACAGTGGAATCTTTCACGGCCAAAGTCATAGACATTCAGCATCTCCCATAATACATTTCCTGAGAAAGACGTCATCCTAAGGAATGTCCAGTTTGAAGGGACCTACAGGCAAAAACTATGAGGAACAAAAGCACCGCGGTGACACTGTGTGTGTTTTTCATCAACAGAACCACACAGTCAAACGGGACACCTGGGCTCTGTGCCACACCAGCGGGCGCTTCCTTCCCAGCCATCTTCTCTTTGGCCTGGACGCTGTTGATTCAAGAACACGTGTTTACTTTTTCAGGTACAGATGCATTACAAATACTCAAAGCCAATTTTCCTTTAAAGAGTGATACACAAATACTGTACCCCCTGTGGAATGCATAAACCAGTAAGGGTGCATGGGGCACACACGCACAAAGGGCACTTGGTTGGTGTCGTCCTTTACCAAAGCCAGCGGATGGTGCGCTGAATACCTGGGAAAAGCAAGAGTGAGCTGCTTTGTAAAGGTTTGCTGTGGATACGGGAGGGCCCAGGGTGGCAGGAGAACCCGGATGTGGCTCCTCCCGGAATTCCCCTGCTCAGGGCTCTGCCAGGAAGGCGCTCCCTGCCCCCACGCCCAACCCAGGCCTCTGGAAAGGCCCCTGGAACCAGCCGCATTTAAGAGGCAGATCGTGGACAAATGACCCCGGACCCCAGACTGGCTCCCCACTCTCCTTCCCCTAAGCTCTGCAGCCAGCCCATCCCTTCTCGCTTGGCCAAGCCGGACAAACCAGGTCAACACCAGAGGCTAAGCAGCCCTCCCCCGATAGTAAGCGGCAGAGGTGATGAGTTAGTCAGTCGCACAGTGACGGTGGTCAGAAATCAGGGACTGGACGGCAGCCACTGTCACTGCGGTGGGCATTGTTTGGTATCCCAGGAAACTAGAGGCTCCAAGCTGAAGCTGCCAGTACCAGAGTCACAGTGTGAAGCCCCCCAGTTTGGTGGGGAGCAGGGGGGAGGAGTGGCAGGAGGGGCGGGGCTCCTACTATAGCCCCCAAGGGACATTCTGGCTGGCTTATACTCCCTGTGATCTACCCGGTGGGCCATGCACACTTCCCTATGCAAACAACTCATGGGACCACCTGAGGCTGTGCAGAGTCTGCAGGCACACAGGCAGAGCCAGGTTCCACGCAGCTCCAAAAACTGGATGTCCCCGGCCAGCCAGCCAGCCAGGTGGGGCAGGGGGTGCACGCGTGTGCTTGGGGGAGGGCGGGATAGGTGAAGACACGCACCAATCACCAAGTCAGCAAAAGGCTACCCGCTCTGGCCAGTAAGGAGGCAGGGTCAGAAACAGGGCAGGCAGCTTTCTACTTTGGGGGAAAAAAAATTCAAATGAAATCATTAGTGCACATTTTCCACTGTGATCTTTCTCTGCAGAATCCGAGACAACACAGAACAGCCCCTGGCTCCCATGGGTGACGTGGAACTGGACATTCACACACAAGCTCGTGCGTGGCCACGTCAGGTCTGGCTTCCTGAACCAGGTCACAGATGCGTCCCCTAAGTCTGAGGGAGGGTGCGGCGCTGGACGAAAGGCAGCGGTGACTTGTAAGGCGAGGCTCCCCAGAACCGCCAGCTCCGCTTTGGTTGCAGCTATCACGGAAACACCAGGGACTGGCTTCTCGAGAAGTCCGTCCACAACAGTCGGACGCCCCCTGCCACTCTTCCCAGGATGGACGTCCCCTGCTTCCTCCAAATAAAGTGCAGATGGTCGAAGGACGTGGGTCTCTCATCTGCCAGTCTCAGCGATGGGAACTAGTGAAAACAACGAGATGCCCCTCTGGTATACATATATCTCTTTATATTCTTTTTCTTTAATAAAGCCACAAATAGAGAACTTTTAAACCGACGTCTCAGACTGCAAGCGGAGGACAAATTTGTGAGATTTGGGGTCTACGAACTCCTCCGAGAGCACGATGAATGGAATTTTCTTCACATTGACGACGAGGCTGAAGTCCAGGCATTTCAGGACGAAAACGAGTCCGTCATGTAACCCGTTCGTCACGGCCTCGTCGCTGACGAGGCTCCACTGCGTGGCCAGCCAGCGCTCCTTGTCGTACTGCAGCGTGGGGCCCGCGCTGAGGTAGCGCTCCAGAAAGGCCTGCAACGAGGGGAGACAGGGGCTTAGCGGGGAGACGGCTGCTCCCAGGGCAGCGCTCAGGTCTGTTTGCACCTGTGGGAAAGGTTTCCCAGGAAACCAAGGCATGGCACGGCGCAGCGCACCGAGCTCCCGTGGGATCCTCACCGCCGAGTCCACTGGCCGGGAGCGAAGACCTCCAGGATTCCCTTGCCCCCTCCACCGACTTCCAGCCAGAGGGTGCAGGCAGCGGAAACACACAGGCCAGGAAGGGGGTGGTGGGACGACCTCTGCCGTGAGATCCCAGGGAACAGCCACAGGCAGTGCCCCTGCCTGCACCTGGTCCGCCCCCTCCCACACTGAGAGCGGAGGGCGAGGGCCAGCCTGGAGCTGTGGGCACAGAAACACGTGGTCCACCACTGACTGGTCTCGTGACCTTGGACAGGCCAGTGAACCTCTCTGCTGCTGGAGAGAAGGGCATCTCACTCACAGGCCTGCTGTGGAGGCAAACGGCTGACTAACCACCTAAGGGCACGCGGCAACCACCAATCAGTGTCAGCCATGGTCACTTTGTGTTGGGTGGAGTGTGCACACAGATGGCTAGTCCAAGGGATGGCCAGACCCCACGTTCCCTTGCTTAGCTCTGCTCATGCTCACCCACGTCCCCAGGGAAGCTCCTCCTCCTGGCCGTTTACACCTTCTCACACCGCACCCTGACCTCTGAAAAGGATGAGCACGCCCTCCTCTAAACGCTGTGTTTGTTGGCAGGACTGCCGTGTGACGTTTCACTTTCTGAACAACTACTGACTTGTTCGGTGGGCCCCACGCTAAACTTGACTCCCCTGGAAGGCAGGTGCTGCTTTTCAAATGTGAACTTCTGCTGTATCTAGCACTAGAAGCACAATAGCATGGGTATTATTATATCAATAAATACACTGATTTAGCTGTGAGAAAGGACGAGCCAGTGACACAGCCAGAAAACACTGAGATGCATCACTGAGGTCCTCTACACAGGCGAAGGCTGGCTTCTAATTGTGCCCCCGGCACCCACCCCTCACGGCTGCTGCAAGGCATGTTTGGTCTCAGACCTGTGAGCACGCGTTCTAAGTATAGCTGTGCCTCTGATGCAACACATACTTCTAATATAAAAATAGCTCTTAGAATCACAAGAAAAAGAAACGATTCAACAGTGAGAGAAATAAAGCTAAGATAATTTATAGAAGAACCAAAAGGACATTAACCTATGAAAGATGTTCTATCACATCAAAAATTAAAGAACTATGGATTCAAGTAATAAAAACACTTTTCCTTCTCTTAGATGGGCAATAATTAAGAAGAATGGTAACTCCCAATGCTGTCAGGTGTGGGAGGGAAATAAACAGTCTCACCCCACCCCAGAGGCAAAGTGGGAAAGGCCACGCCCTTTCGAACGACAATCTGGAAGATCCACACCTCTGATCCAGCTGTTGTTCCTGGCCTGGAAATGCATCCTTCAGAAACACTTGCACGAATGCACAAAAACATATGTAAAAGAGATAGCCATGGCAACAGTGTTTAGACCAGGAGTTGGCAAACTTTTCTCTAAATGTAAATATTTTCATCTTTGCAAGCCACACTGTGCCGCAGTTACTCAACTCAGCCTGTGTGGAGAAAAAGCAGCCGCAGAAGATATGTAAATATAAAAGGGCGTGGCTACGTTCCGATCACACTGATTAACAGAAACAGCTAACCCCCAGGTTTAGAGTCATAAAAGACCTGAATCCAAAAGTGTATCAATAGACAATCAGGTAAGCAAGTCACGGTATCCCGTGAATGAGATGCAGCTATTAGAGTGAGTTGGATCTGCATGACAGAGATCAGGGGTCCTGATGTGGAAAGAGAGCGCTGAGTGAATAACATACATGTAAATGATACCACTTGTTTTTCCCCTTTCTGTTCTAAACACACACACAAGCACATACCCCAGTCTGTGTTGGTGAGCACTGTTCGAGCTAGGGGAACGGAACTTCACTCTGTACATTTCCCTGTTCCTTCACGTTTGGACTTGTCTACAAAAAATTACTATTTTTAATTTAGAAAAGTACACATCTTTTAAATGAAAAAGAAAGCCACTGGGAAACATGACAAAATCTTGAAACAAGGAGAACAGCTTCCGCAGGCGGCACAAGCGCACACTTTGCACACGCACACGCACGGCCGCGTGCAAGCCTTTCTGCGTCTGCTGTTTGTAAACGACTATTCTCACAGAGATTCTTCCGTGTTGAGCAGGGGCCAGGTAGACCACAGTTTGTAAGTTGCTGTTCTATTTTTAAGTTATTTTGTTTGCAGTTATTACAGATTATTTTGCAAAAATCACCTGCATGCATATTCATGTATATCTGTGACTGTGCTGCGTACATTTTTTTAGGAGAGTCAAAGAATATGGAAACCTGATAGCTTCTTTGCTGAGTATTTCTGTATTGTTTCCCTGAGGACGTTACTGGTTAGTGACAATGTAACCAGCAGTAGTACCTGTATGCATAGGACACTGTAGGGACACAGGTCCTTACACTAATGACAGCAGCTCCCCAAGGTTACATGTGAATTCTATGCCAACCTTACTCAGGGTCACGTTGCCATATTTAACATAATTCTCACACAACAACCCTATCGGGTAGATACTGATTTTATAAAAGAGGAAACCAGGGTAGAGTAAGTCTTAAGTGGTGACTTATGACTTAAGTCACCAATTAAATGGAGGAGCCAGGATTTGAACCCACTTCTGTCTGAAGAGAGCTCATTTGCTAAAACCCTTACACTATTTTGTCTCCCTGGCCCCCTCCCTCTATTGGATATGTGACTGTTTCTTGTAGTAGCCCTAAAAGTGTGCTCAAATCATAATCTAAAAGACCACTCAGTAAAACTAATGCCACAACACCCAAAACGCCTTACCAAGTGATGGCGTTTCATCTACCACTAATAATAAAAGCCATTTATTGGGTCCTTACCATATAACAGGCACTGCTGTAAGCACCTCACACGAAAGAACACCTTTATTTCTCACAACAACCCAGTGAAGTGGTTATCAGTATTATCCCCAATTTACAGATCAGGAAACTGAGGCGCAGAGGCGTTAAGCTGCTGGCCCCAGGTTTCCCAGCTACTTGGTGGGGGAGCGAGGTTAGAATGAGTCACCTTGGCTCTGGAACCCCCGAGGACCCCTAAGGGTTACCTGTGCTGTCTCTACCTGAGAGTTTCTCCTATGCTTGAACCTGAAAGCCTTCAAAGGTGCATCTAAACACTAACTGTACCCATATACTGCTATGAAGTAAGCGAGAATCACGAATTCTTATTAGTTGCTGTTTCAAAGAAGCCTGTGCTTCGGCCACTCCTGGCCACCCCCCCACAACCGGACTCGAGGCTGGGTGACGCGCCACACCTTTGGGGTCATGCTGTTGGTGATGCAGAACGCCAGGTGCTGCAGGATGCTCTCCATGCTGTGGTAGTGCTGCTGGCGCGTGGTGCGCAGGTACTTCTGCAGGGCCCGGGCCATGGACGGGAAGATGGCCTGGGCAGCCTCCCTGGGGTCCATCACCTCCCCGGGGGCCTTCTGCTGCTCCTCGGCCTGGAGGCGCTGGATGTGGATGAAGGCCTCCTCCACGGCGACCACCAGCCTGGGGATGGGAAACCCAGGTGTTAGGGCGGGATATGGGGACCGTATCACTGGGACCTGGAAGGACTCCTGCCCTCCTGCCATGTCCCCACCTGCCGCCGGCTCTCCCAAGGCCCCCATCTTTAGGCTGGCACTCCAGGTGGTTGGAGGGGAGCAAGAGAGAGAAATGGGAAGCAAACATAAAAGTAACATGTGGAACGGGGATTGGGGGGGTGAGGGGAATGGAGGCCTGGGACTTGGAGACAACCTCTGTTCTCAGTCTTGCCACTAAGGTGCTCAGGAGACTCAGGGAAGGGTGAGATGAAGCGAGTTCTGAGTTCCCGCAGCTCTGCGTGGTGGCCGGGGTGCTGCAGCCGCCTTTCAGAGAACCAGAGCTGGCTCCCCGCCGGTCCAGCCTCCACAGCAGCACACGTGATGGAAACCACCTCCATCCACTTCAGTCCAGAGGATCTGATCTTGAAAACCAGCAAGGGCCTGGGGGTGCAGGGCCGGGCCACTCCGAGTGTGGGCTGTGGGCCGGCCGCTCAGCCTCGGCTGGGAATTTGTCAGAAATGCCAGTTCTTGGGCCCAAGTCCAGACCCACTGGACAGGAGGTGGTCTTTGGGGGTGGGGGTCTGACGTAAGGAGATGCCTGGTGCTGCTCACGCACACAGAAGTTCGAGAAACACCACAGCAAGAGCCACGCAGAGGCTCGAGCAGGCCATGTTCACGAAATGAGGATATCAAAGGAAGAAAGAAAAAAGTCCACGACAGCGGGGGCTGCTGCTGGGGGACAAGATACCTTGCTCTCCGCTTCTTTACCCGCCGCTCGTGCTCCGCCTCCTCGTAGTACAGCTCGTTGTGGCTCGAGTCCCTGCGGCGCGCCGCGGCGGCGATCATGGCCCGGGACTGGCCGGCGGCGTTGTTGCTGGGGCCTACGGGGCAAGGTCGGCGGAGAAAGAAGAGTTTTAATGCCGCGGGGCCGTGAAACGGGGTGGAACACGAGTACCACGGTCTGCGGTGACCGTCCACCCATCCCCTGCGAAGCACAGACACCAGTCCCAAAGGTGACTTCCCATGAGGGTGGACAGCCCCGCTGCTCCTCATTCCATATGCTCACGAGAGGCAGGAAGTCTCCCCAAAGCCTGACCAGATCTGTGCAAACGGGGAAAGGACTCAGAGGGAGATGAGGAATGAATGACAATTAAAACACTGGCTGAAAATAACAGGGACTGTGAAGATGTTACTTACCGTCTGCCACAGAAAGGCTCAGAGTGGCCCTCAGGGCAGCCGGGACATCAGGTCTCATCCACCGAGACAGTGAGCAAGAATGAGGGGGAGGGGAAAACAAGGACAGAGACAAAGCAAAGGCCAGGGACTCAGGGACACTGAGCACACAGGGAAACGAGCACTGCTAGAATGTCACGGCGGCCACAGCTTTTGGAGAAAAGACCCAGTGCCTGGGAACTTGTAAAACAGGAGCTGCGCTCACACAGACTTAGAAGCCCCGGTCTGCTTCCCCAGACCACGGCCCACCTCAACCTTTCGGAAAGACGAGGCCGATCTCGTGCTTTCTCAGGTTTCACCTGCTTGGCCCAGGATCCGGTGTCACCAGGGAACTGTGCCCCAGTCCTTCGGGATTCATGCGATAGTGCACATCTCATTAGCCAGAAATAATAATAAAATAAAATTTGAAAATGCGGAGGGTATTATGTCACCGCCGAAACCGACACCATCTATAAATCACCGGACTTGCTAACAACATGATCTTCTTGCAGGGTTTGCAAAGCCCTCGCCTTGCCCCAAGCTGCCCAGCAAGAAATGACACCGCGTCCCACTTCCTGCACTGGACCATCTGATAGCCCGAAACAGCTCTGACGTCCCCAGCCTGGCCTCTGGCCTCCCGCCACCCACTCAACTCCAGCTTCTGGGCAGGGCTGAGAAACGCCTGTGAGTGAGTGTCTTGCCAGACGCCGGAACTATGGAGAATTATACAATCTCTAGGGACTTGGGTGGCTGAGTCTTGGGACACATTATCTACATGTTGAAAAGAAGCCCGTTCCTAATAGCTTTTAATATAAGATGTTCCCAGCAGGAGGCGGGGAATACACACACATCACTATTGTTTTCCATCATAAAATCCCCAAATGAATGAACCTCCCACAGATGTAGACCATAAATCAACATTCCTCTGAAAATGTTTGCCTGCCAGAGAGAGAGAGAGAGAGAGAGAGAGCGCGAGCGAGAGAGAGAAATTGTCCTGAAATGAGAATGAACCACAACGACAAGCAGAGAAAGGAGGCAGAACCAGATGGACAGTGAATCCTCTGCAGGGTTTAAGGCCCGCAGTGTCCCAGCTGCCCCTGCACCCACCAGAGACGCCGTTTCAAGGCACGTACCGTCCACATTGTAGACCTTCAGCCCTGCCATGTGCTTGGCCGCTCGGAATTTGGAGGCTGTTAGGAGGTTGGGGTTATAGATGGTGAAATCTTTATAGTAATTTTCCAGAACCACCAATGCTGCTCGCTGGATACTGAAAAAAAGGGGCGGGGGGGATGCAAAATTAATGCAAAGCTTTTTCACTGAGTAAGTAGGTCTTAAGTGAAAAAAAAAATCCTCTTTGGAAGTCAGTAAAATACCAGAGCACCAAGAATAATGGTGCACAGAAGGCTTAAAAGTGAAAAGGTCCAGAGTTAAAAGTGAAACTAAGTCCTACTGTCAAGTGGCTTTGGTGCCCTGTCCCAGGCCCCGCCATGAGCCAGACCCCACTGGCCAGTAGTTGAGAAAGGAGTAAGTTATACCTTAGATATGTTTAGGCCACACAGAACTTTCCTATGTCCCCCAGTTGACAAAAGAGGAAACAGAGGACCCCCAAGTAGTCAAGACACTCTCAGATGGCCGCAGAGCTCCTGAGCGAGAGACCACAGTACAGATGCAGGGTCCCCGGTGCCGTGCAGAGCCCCTTCCTGCACTCCCCCCACTGCATCTCAGGCCCCCAACCAGGGCGGAGAGCACTTGGAAGAGGCTGCTGCAGACAGGAGTTAATCCTGATTCCTCCTCCCCAGTACCCTGGGCCAGCTGCTTCACCCCAATGTCCTGCGATCTGTAACCGAGCACCTGGGAGAAAGGGTGGGAGCAGAGAAGAGGAAATGCCAATAGGGGACTACGAGGGTGGGGAGGGAGGGCGCCAATACTCAGCATCGGCAGCAGAACGTGCTGCTCCTGGTCTCAGATGCAGGGCAGGTTTTACCCACCTCTCCTCCTTCGACCCCGGCCATCACTCAAGAGAAGAAAATCGAAGTTCACACATCTGTGACCTGCCCAACAGTGCGTGCTTCCCCAAAGAGAAGGGCAGGGACTCCAGTCTGCATTTACAGGCCCCAGCTCCCTTCCCCACAACTCGTGGCCTCTGTGGGACCCAGTCCACACTGACACCAACCGCCACCACGCTGAACTGCAGCTGTTTGCATCTCGCCCTTTACATTTTCCTTCCCGGGTCCCTTCTAAGTAGATGGGCTCACAAGGACTGTTTGTAGTAGCCCACGTGCCATGGAGCGCTTCACGGCTCTCCGAGTGGCTCAGGGACCTCCCCTTGACACAAGACAGCTTTGTCCCTAACCTTTCCACTGGACACTTTGCCGACCCCACCCTTCAGCTCCTCTTGGGACTCTGCCCCCAGAGTCTAACAAAAAGTCTAAAAACCATCTCCAAGTCAGTCAGCTAACCTCTGTAACAGCAGAGTCTTGGAAAAGCTTTCTGACTCGTATCCCCACAGTAACCGGCGACCTGCATTCGGCTGGTGTCTAGTATGTACCTAGACACACGCTCCCCGGCGAGACCAGCCTTGTACAATGGCCGCATCAGATTGCTAAGAGCGGGTCCACGCTTTGAAAGCCTTAGTCATTCAGTTATGTGGCCGCTCACTCATCACTTGCATGTTTGAGTGCCTCCCTCTGCCCAGCCCCGGGAATGCCAAGATAAAACAGAAGGAGCTTCTCCTTAACCAGGCGTCCTTGGAATGAAGTCCTGTGACAACCAGTGGGAACACACATGGGGGACATGGAGGAAGCACAGAGAAGGCCGACTGCAGGACTCGGGTGGGTGCAGGACAGGTCCCCGAGGAGGGGACGTGGTCGTCGAGCGGAGGTTTGTGTGCCACAGAAGTCCTCTGGTGCCGACACCCGGGGCTCTGCGGCTCGGCACGGCCCCATCTCCTCCTGGCCTGTGTCTGGCGTCTCTGAAGGGGGCCAGTACTTCCTCACCTCGAGTTCCTGGACGGTGCATGTCCAGACACTCCCTCCCCGCACCTACTCCAACTCCCACCCCCTGCCCCCATGCTCCGGGTTCTCCAGAGTTCCTGGGCTGGGGGAGACTAGGAACCCTCCAGGGAGAAATAAGTCTATTCAAGACACAGACAAGCTGGGGTGCAAATACTCCAACCCGCGCTTGTACCCTGACGTGGAAACATCTCTAGGAGCCTGGATATCAGCAGGCCAGTATCTCTCCGATCAAAATGTAAAAAGCAAAAGGCAACTCAGAGGTTATCCTCGGGCCCGTCTTCAAAACAAACCTTCTCTGGCTGTGATGAGGGACCCAGGGGACCCCACGAACTTAGCCCAGGCCTTCGAGGCAGGCGAGGCGAGGCCGGGAGGGAGCCTGGCAACTCTCCGCCCTGAAACCAGAGACGGTGCACTCTGCTGCCCAGGAGGCAGCTGTCCTGCAGGGGCTCCATGGCTGGGGTCGCACGTCCGCCTCACGCCAGAGCCCCAGGGGGCCCCAGGAGCATTCGGAGTGGGGCAGATAACCCAGGACAGGAGCCTCTGATGTCACCTGCGTGGACCTCACAGTGTTCCACAAGCCCGAGAACTCTCACTCAGAAAAACCCGACTACGGGGCAAGTTCAGATGGTGCTCTCTTCCTCCAGTCTCGTCACCTCAGCAGAGGTTCCAGAAGGCCCAGAATGGCCCAGCTGCCCCGGGAGCAGTGGTGGGCCTGGGCAGCCCCCAGGCTGACCAGCAAGTGTGGGAGCTGGGGGGCTGGCAGGGGAGGTCTGGAAAAGCCCCCAAGAGCGGCAGCCGGCCTTCGCCCAAGAAAACATCTGGGCCACACTCGACACGTCAGAGACATTGGGGCGTGAGAAACTCCACAGGACTGAAGCCAAACCAGAACTGAAATGCCCGACTCAAATAAAACGGTTGTGAGGTCTGGACTGAACCCCAGGGTGTCTCTTCACCTTGTCGAAGAGCATGAATGGGTGTGGAGCACGGGGGAGGAGGTCGGGGGAGGCCCACGCCCCACGCAGCAGGGTGGTCTGAGTCACAGGGCTGCCGCACCTCCTCCCGGCACCCTCCCTTACTGGCTGCTGTCAACGCCACCACTCTGCGATCCGCCCGCCGCCGCCACGTGGCTCTGTTCTCACGCACTCCCGGCTCTGGTGTAAGTCGGGAGAATGGGCTTCTGGGGCCCCCGGGGCGGGGCTCTGCCCCATACCTGCTGTAGCGCAGGAATCTGGTGTCTATATCAATCCTAAACCAAAGGCTTTCCTTTCTGTTCTGGCTCCTGATTCATGCTCTGGATCGGTTGAGTTTGTTACATAACTGGCTTTAGGTTAAAAGTAACATTTGAATGTGTTATTTGGCTTCCCAGTAAAAGAAAGAACAATTCAGCACCTACTGAGGGGGACATCCACAGGACACCCTAGCTCAGCCCAAGTCATGGCCCCACAGCGCCAGGGGCCAGGTCCCTCTCATCAGCTAGTGTTAAGGTCAGCATCTTCCTGCTTCTACTCTTTGGCCGGAGCAGGACCGACTTCTTTTAAGAAGTCTTCTCCAATTCTCCAGTCCTCGGTGACTCGTCCCCAAACCCACAGCACGGACAGCTGTCACCTGTCGCCGGTGGTGTCCTGGAGTGAGCTAGCCCCCCTCCTCAGCCAGTCCCCAGAGATGAGGGACGCCCCCGCCGACCTCCCCGAGGGAACATAACTCCCGCGGGCTCAACTTGCTCATTCAGGAAACCCTGGGCTCCCACAGGTGCGGGATGCGTCCTGAGCATCTATTTCATAAACCATGGAGTTGTAGAAGCAAAAGGAATCTCAGAGATGAACAAAAGCGAACCCTTTAACGGGTCCCAGTCTCTCGGCCAGCTCACCTCGGGGGAAGGGGGGGGGCAAGTAAACCCCAGGTGGCGAGAAACCTGCCATCCTTCTTATCACTGTCACAGTCAGAGAGACAGCTGACGCCCTGTGTGACAGACAGGCGGAGTCTGATGCACCCGCTGGGGACAGGGCCCCACCAAAATTTCGCAGGGAGGAGCACTCTGCCAGGATAGGGCCTCTAAGCTCAAAGCACACCAGGTGGCAGGCACCCTCCTGCACGGCCATCCAGGGAACTGCCCCCGCACAGACCACACGGATGGGCAGAACAATGCACAAAACCCAAGTACAGGAAGCCCAGACACGTGTGTGAAAAGATAACATATGAATAACGGAACATTCAACTCTGCTCGGTCCAGGCTGGTCTGAACTTGAACTCATGGAAGAGTCTGGGCAGCAATGGGTCAGCACCAGTATCTGAGAGAATTTGACAGCCACTCCCAAACGTGAAACCTGAAACGCAGCTGGTGCCCAGCGGGCCTTCCTGGCCGATTGTCTTTTCAGGACAAAGAGGGTGGAATGCTGTGGCCTGTGGTGGCAAATCAACCACAAAAGCACTTCAGTGCCACTGACGACTGTTACATGTCGCCATGGCAACAGGGAGCGGGGGGGGGGGGGGGCTCACCCCTGGGCTCCACTTGTTGAACAGGCTTGAAGAGAAGCAACCCCAAAGATGGTTCAAATGTTAGTTCATAAAAATCTCCGAGACACGTTTTGACAGCTAGATCCTGAAAATAACAACAAGAGCAAATGAACGCCCCCCACCCCCCACCGTGCTCCGTGTGTAACTGCTGTGGGGAAGGTTGTGCTGTGCAAATGGCTTTGGCTTTGACCCCAGTGTGACTCTTGGCTTTCATGCATTCTTTGACCTTGAACACATTACAACCCATCTCTCCAAACACCAGGTTCTTCATCTGCAGGATGAGAAAAACAACACAGAAAGCCCTGCTGTAACAACATAAGTGGACTCCAAACCGCTCCACTGTATAAAAACACATCACCCCACGGTTACTGAGAAGACTGGGACATTCTGGGGCCAGCGGCTAGCCGGAAATCCTAGCGGCAAAACGCAACATGCAGACACACCAGGTTCTGGCTGAAGTCTGGTGTCAGTTGTCTCCTGGGCTTCAACGGCCATGGAGGCCATTCCAACTCCTGTGACTTTCCCAGGCTTCCAAGGCAGCGGGCGTGTAGGCCCCCAAAAATAGTGGAGACTCAACCCCCACTTCCCTGCTTCCCCAGGAGGAGCTGTCAGTCTGGTCTGGGTCTGTTCTGAAGATTAAATGAGATGATGTATTTTAAAGGGCCTGGCCCAAAGCAAACGGCTCACAAATGGTGGCATCAAGAGCTTACACCGGGAGGCCCATCCATCCCTTGGGAGC